GCTCGCCTTGCACAATCGCTTTGCACTTTCTATCTACGACGACAAGCTCGCTTGTACCACCGACGTAACCACCGGAGTACCCTCCGTCGCCCGACAACGGTCCTGATCCCGCGGATCTGCGGGTTACGGAGAGGATGGGATGCGATGGGCTCGCGGGAGCGATCAGCCGCGGATCGTATAGGTCCGAGCATCACGTCGGCTCTCTGTATCCACTCTTGAAAACGGATACGGCGACCGGCCGGCTGACCCGATCCGATCTAGTCCACTGCAGCCGCGCTCTCTGCGCCGTCGGAAAACAGGAATATTCTGCGCTGTTTGATTTCCCGAAACCTGTTAGCTCCGCGCGCGCTAGACGCGTCCGTTTTCACTCTTGCGAAATTTCGCGCAGCGCGAGATCGAAACGGCCGTAGAGTCTGCGTAAAATCGATCTCGCGAGGCTGAATGTCGATCGCCCATTGCTTTACGTAAATTTCGGCTAAAGCCGCGCGCGGCTGGCTGGCTTGTCACAACTCGCGCTTAATTAGTCCGCGCAAAGTGCCGACTTGCGTCCCGCGTCTGCCGGAGAGCCGCTCGAACGGTTACTAATATCGTTTCGCCGGCCGGGCCGGCAATTTCAGTAATGCGCGTTAACGACGCTGGGAATGACTTTCCGGCAAAAAAAGGAAGGAGGAAAGCAGCCGCCGGCGCGGCGGGGAAAATTTCCGTCACGCCGGCCGCAATTCCGCGTGAGTGTGCGCGCGCGCGCGCGACCGCATCTCCCAATTAACATGTTTTCTCTCCGCCGCGCCGCGCCGCGCCGCGCCGCGCTGTATCGCGCTACAGCCGATGCGCGATTTAATTTCCCGTCCGTCCACGACGGAGAGACGGAGTGGCGTGTCCGACCCGGCGCGGCGACGGAGGCATTCCGACGAAGGAGCGCCCACGAGGAAACGAAAGCCCGGCGGCTGCCTCCGGTGTGCTCCGCTTTTGAAGGCCACCGAGTTTCGTAACGACCGCTCGTCTCTCTCTCTCTCTCTCTCTCTCTCTCTCTCTCTCTCTGTGTCTGAGCGCGACGCCCACTCGAAAAATATCGCCGTCAGTCGGTGGCGGAAAAAACACACGGCCACCGTAAATAATCGTCGCGTGAGAGGAACAATGGCGGGAGGTGTTCGAATTCTCGTGTGCTCTCCTTGCGCGCGAAGCGGACAGCTTTGCTCCGTAAGCGGACTGTCCGGCGCGGCGCGGCGAGGGCGCGCGGAAACAAACGGTCCGACCGAATCGATCGGGTCGACCGGTCATACCGGCCGCTCTCGTCATTTCCGCTGACCTTTCGCGAACGCGAGTGACCGTTAGCCGTGTGTCGTAACATATAGTGTAACTTACCGTAAGGTAACGTGTCCACGAGTCGAGTAACACGTCCCACGTGCGTGCGCTCTCGCGCATGCCTTCCGCGAGGAGAAGGCTCTCTCGATAATCGATAAGAACCCGATCGCGTTTGCATCTATCGTCTATCGTTTGCCGCGGCGAGCGCGTAATTAACAAGCCCGACTCTTCCAACCGCGCACAATGGTCTCTCTCTCTCTCTCTCTCTCTCTCTCTCTCTCTCTCTCTCTCTCTCTCTCTCTCTCTCTCACCGAGAGAGCTCGCCGCGCGCGCGCGCGTTCGCCAGCGATACGCATCTACGGCTGCATGTCTCTTACATTCACACCGCGCGTTAATACCGTGAAGATCGGACAAAGGCGAGAGGAGCGATAAATTAACGCAACGACTGCCACGGTGGTCACCGGCGACCGTCGCGGCGCTACGATGTTTCGCCGCGCCTCGGCGGTGTTGCACAAGACTCACTTTAGAGCACACACAAACGGCGGAAGTAGAAGCGAAAATTTATTTTTATGTTATTTATTAACAATACACGAGTTTTACTTATTAATAATATTAATAATAATATTAATAACTGACCCCTTTGGTGTGCAGTAATTAAAGGACAATAGCGTAATAAGTCAGAAGATTCTCGTACAATAAATACGGGAAAAAGTAAGAAAGAAAAAGAAAACGGAAGAAAGAAAGAAAGAGAAAGGGAAGGAAGAGACTAAAGGAGAAAAAAAAAAAGGAAAAGGGGGAAAAAATTCCTTTTATCTTCCGACCTGAGCGATGAAAACGAAGTTAAGGAATGGGAAGAGAAAATTCAGTGACAAGTGGAAAGCAGAGACGGCGCGCGATGCACGGTAACAGTGCACTGTGTGTGTGCAAAGGAGGTGTGTGCAAAAGAAGCACGGAGATGCCGCTTCTAGATGGAACGGACTTGGGTAACGTAAGATGTAAATCCGAGCGATCTTTTTGCAACAATAGGCAGCGCGAGTCGCATTCATTCGGCGCGTGATTTGCGCGGGGCATCGAAAGCGTGACCGTGCGGAATATGCAGAATCGAGATTTCGCGATCCACGAGTGCCGCTCTAATTTACGCAGCTTCCGGATAACAGTAATCCGCGACTCGACGCAGGCGGAGAAGAAGTCTTCCCATGTTCGTCGCGTGTGCCGTGAGAATTCGCTCGCGAATTGCGACACGAGACGAGAGAAACAATTACGAAAACTTGTGTAACCGAATAATACCCTCCTGTGCGGCCGCGGCCGCGGCGGGTGGCATCCTCTCTCTTTCTCTCTCTCTCTCTCTCCCTCCCTCTCTCTCTCTCTCTCTCTTTCTTTCTTACTTTTGCAGCAGGCGATAAGGATCGATCTGGGAACTGGAGCGCGATCGCGCGCTTAATTAATGCGAGCGCGCGCGGCGCGCGCGCGTTTGGCCCGAGCGCTCCACATTTTTGCGCGGAAACCGAGAAGAACCGCCAGGCAATCGCGTGTGTTTACGTACGGAAATCACGCGGCCCGCCCGCGCCGCCTTCCCCGCTCAATTAAGGCCGACGGGCCGGATTCGAAGCACCGCGTGCTTAATCGACTCGCGGGATTAATCAACCGCGGGGATCGAGCGTATGCTCCTCCCTTTTCGGCGCGGTTTCCTCCGAATTGCTCGAGACGAGTCGAAGTCGAGCTCGCTGGAGAAGTCAGAAGCCGCGATGGGAGATCTTATTGACAGCTGGACACTCGCCGGCCGAGAAGCGAGAGCACGCGCGCGCTGTATAATCGCGTCAAGTCCAAGTTTGGTTATCTAATTCGATAACACTAATTCAACCGATCCGAGAGCTCGCTGGATAACTTTCACCGGAACGAGCGAACGGGCGAGGGGAAACCAAATCCTAAAAGCGCGACGCCGCGCCGCTCGTCACGTCGGCGTCGCGTCGGCGCGATGCTGGGGGGGCAATAATAATCAAGGTCCCGCGGCGACGTGCAGCAGCCGTGCGATCGATCCCGTTGATCGCGGACGACTGATTTGATCGATTTGAGCGAAACCGAAGCGCGGGAAACCGAAAATTCCGCAGCGGCGTGAATTCAAGGTCCGGAGAATGGATGGAGCGTGGCCGGCGCGCGCGCCGGAGAGAACGTGCGACGATCGGACCAATAGGCTCTCTCTCTCTCTCTCTCTCTCGCGTGATCGCGTCCGTGTCTGGCAACAACAACGAGTTATTGACTCCGGCCGACATTACCGCGACGCGCGTTACCGCATACCGGGTGGGTATGCCCAAAGAGTCGTCGTTTCCCGAAGCGGAGGCGCGAGAGCACACGCGCTTCCAGGAGGAGCGTCGCTCCCGCCGGATCTTAATAATTAGCCGCTCGCGACCGTTGGCGCAAAGTCACACCCGACATTACGTGATCGCGCGTTTATATAACACCCACATTATCCTTGCATTATATGGTTAGCAGTGGTGACAGCACAGAGAAAGTTCCCATATGCCCGGCCGCCTTGCAACTCGCGACTCGCGACTCGCGACGTGGTCTACGCGGTGCCGCGGCACCGCTTCTCGATTATAGCCGCCGATGCGATGGCGCAGGGCCGTGCGAGCGCCGCGCGACACCCCGCGGAATTTGACCAGGGTGTCGCAAGCGCGGAGACCGCTTTGCGTCGCGATGACGCGTCGCGCCAAAGCTGACGTGATAAGGAGACAAAGAGATAGATAGGTAGATAGTTTATTACGTAGGCAGTCTGAAAAGTTCTCGACCTGACACGTACATGACATTGGAAACTGTCAAACTATATAATTGTATTGGAAAGTGGTCATCCCTGATATAAACCCATGTAAAATTTTATTCGATCTGTCAAGTCATTCGAGTAGTAGCACCACCACAGTTGAAAACGCTTTGTGCAAGATGGGTGCCGCATTTGCTAACAATTGACGGAAAACGCGTTCGAATGCGTGTTTCTCAAGCGTGTTTGCCACATTTTGATCGTTTTAAGCAAAATAACATGGATTTCAAGCGTCGCGTTTCATAACTGTTGATGAAACTTGGATCCATCGCTATCACACCGGAGCGAAAAGAATCGCTCCGGAATCACTCTTTAATGATGGTATTGAATTATTGGAAAAACGTTGGAATAAATGTACTGAAGTATTCGGAAGATTATATTGAAAAATAAAACATATTTCACGGCAAAAGAAATTTTCTTTCATTGTTAGGCCGAGAACCTTTCAGACTGCCCTCGTAATACCCTGAGGAAACAGCCAACCCTTAGGTTGGACGTGAGAATTCAAGTACGCACAGACGGCAATGCCGAACTTGTGATAATGTAGAGCATTAGGAAATACAATGAAATAAAATCATGCGAAGGAGCCACAATCAAAATCTAGCCTCTCCAGATAAAAATATATATATATATATATACTAGTGAATCGCAAAAATGCAAAAGAAAAAGTGCAAGGTTTTAAGAATAATGCAGAGAGAGAGAGAGAGAGAGAGAGAGAGAGCGTGGAGGCAGTATCTTCCATAGCAAAGCACGGAAGGACCCGCGAGTAACTATTCGCTCTGTATCGCTTTCTCTCTCTCTCTCTCTCTCTCTCTCTCTTGCTGCGTCGAAGTATGCTTAGTTACACTCGCGACAATTGCGTGATAATTTTCCGCTTTGTCTGTTGCAGTGCCAACATGCGGGAGAAACGATGGCTGCTGCTCGCTCTGTACGGTAAGCGCAACAATTTCCGGAGGACGATGTCGGACATCGGCTCGGCGATACCTCGACGTTTAGCGAGGCTCTCTTACTCGATTTCTCGAGTATTTCTCGAGATCCTGTTTCTTCCTCTTTCTCGTTGTCCCCCGTGACTCTCTCGTCGCGTCCTCAGTATTTTTGGACTTTCCACGGCCGCGGAGGAATGCCGCAGAGAGACAGTGGACGACCTTCTGTGCCGCGTCCCGGGAATTTTATGTCCCGCGCGTAGAGATCGATTCGCGACCGTTCGTACGGGAGAGGGAGAGGGAGAGGGAGAGGAGAAGAAAGAAAAAAAGCCGACGCGTCGACGACCTTTCGCGCGACGAGCGCCAGACGACGGGATTGGATCGTTGAATAACACACGAGGGAATCGCGAGAATCTCGCGAGACGCTCGAGAGTGTCGACGGCTGCTGCTTCAGGAGGAGAATCCGGCTCCGTCGCGTCCGCCTCGCGCGTACGAAAGGCGGGCCAATTAATTTGCAAAGTGGGCGCCCGCGCACTTTTCTCACCCCTTGCGTTGGCTCGCGCGCGATCATTGACGTTGATTCAAGGTCCGTAAAGAAAAGGGATTTTATGGATCGCCAGAAAAAGAGGGGAAAAAATTATACACCGAAGAGGATAAAGCGCGACCGCGACCGCGGCTGCGAGATGATGATCTTTTCGTCTGTCGCGCTCGAAAGCGTTTGGTATTCACACGGCGCGCGCGTACACGATTTGCAAAGGCGCTTTCGCAGAAGGAGGGTCTTGCGCGGCGCAGGGGGAGACCCGTCGTGAATGTCAAGAGGATCGTCCGCTTTGTTCCGCGGCGAGGCCGAGGGGCCTCCCCTCGCGCGGGGTCCCGAAAATTTCAGACCACACGAGACCGAGACGGGAACGGGATCGGGAGACACTAACGACGACGTCGCTCGTGTCTTCGATTCGATCGACAAGAGCGAGCTTCCCCGTGGAAATCGCGAGCAGGCTCGCGAAAGGCCGCTGGAAAAATCGCCGTCTCTCGGCTCGGCGAGCCGACGAGCTGTTCCTCGCCCGCGCAGCGCCCGCCGCAGCGGTTTCGATCGATCGATCGATCGATCGATCACGATCGGTCACGGGACACGCTGCGTGTATGGCAGCGTGTATGTGCGTTCACATTTAGAATGCTTTCTGACATTTTCGCCGGTGCGGCGAGTAACTCTCTTCGACTCGAGCTCTTGAAAATCGCGCTCTCGGGAATCGCGCGGTGCGGACGATTCCGTCCGCCGTTCTTACGGCGTCGTAAAAGTTTCACTTCATACGATAATCGCTTCATACGATTCTGCTTCTCGCGACGCTTCTCGCGACCCATCGGACTATTAGCGGTAACTATTAGCCGGCTATCCGTTAATCATCAACGCGCGAATCCGCACGCAAGCGCGTCTCGCGCGTCTCGCGCGTAGGGATGCCGATTTGTTTTCAAACAGGTCGATTTAAAGATCGATTCGAATCACGAAGGAAAAAATCGACCTTTAAAAAATCGGTTTGTAAAGAATTTCGATTTCAGAAGACACGGATTTGAATCGGTACGCATGTAACGCTCATTAAAGTATACCACTCATTAAAGTATTATCTGTCAAATTTCCACACTCTAAGGTAAACCTCGTATAAAATTCGCAAGGTTTAATATGAATTAAAGAATTTCCACGGATGGTATACTCTTTCGGTTGTGTTGTGTGTGGCCACACAACATGACAGAGAAAGATCTTTAAATATTTATGCTATAGGATTTAATTAGTTTGATCAAACATCAATCAAGGGTTTTTAAACGTTATTAAATAAGAAATCACGTTTACTATTATATGTATATACATATGTATATAATACTATTATATGGAGTGGCTGTGATCGATTCCGCTGAAAATTTTCGCCCTGATCGGCCTGAAGGCAACGTAATGTACATCGTGCAGCCATTAAGTGAGTTCAAATGTTGCAACTAAAAGGAAGTAAAAAAAAGAAGCTATATTACTAGTAGAAACCGAAAAAATCGTGTTGGCGATTTTCAAAATTTACAGGTCGATCTTCGAGTCGATCCAGTTCCAGAAAATCGATCGTTTAGTCTCCGATTAGTCGATCTTCGATTAAATCGATTAAAAATCGGCATCTCTACTCGCGCGGCGCCGTATGATTCCCCGAGGAGGAGGATCTCGTCTCGGGCTCGAGGGAGGAGGGCGCGCTCTGCGTCCTTCCAAACGGCGAGTGGACGAGGCAGGAAAGGAAGCAAAAGAAGGAGAAGAAGAAGAAGAAAATGTCAGGTCATTCCCATTCGATCGAGACTCCACGTCGCCGGCAGACAATCGGATGAAGCAATTTGTTTATACACCGCCGGCGTGGCGTGGCGTGGCGTGGCGTGGCGCGGCATAGCGGTAACGGCGGCTACGGCGACGGTTTCGTCACGAAAACGATTTACCGTAACCGTGTATGGGAGGGGTGCACGCCCACGTTAACATTTCCCACAAACGGAATGCGAGCGCGTTCCCATAATTCATTTTTATGCAACGCCGGCCGGCCGGCCGGCTCTCGTTATCGATCGCGACCTGGAAAAGTACGATTCCGTTGTAGCGGCCTATACGCGTGTGTGTTTTCAACATCACCTTCGAGGACATCCACTTTCCGGTCCACGGAGCCGCGCTCACGTCCGCGCGAACTCGAAGCGCCGGCCACCCGGGGCCAGGGCGGAGGACGGGGGGGGGGGGACGCGTTTTTCCGCGTGCGCGCGCTTGGAGAATCGCGTTCGCGCGATCGACGGCGGCGGCGGCGAGCAAAAGCGATCTCGGCGAAGTGATCGGTCGTAAACGATCGACGACTACGAGTTCCGCGAGTCTTATTTAACCGGTCGTTTAATTAATGACCATTCTCCGGCGTGTTCCGAGTGTTATCGCTTGATTGAGCGACCGTCCAGCGCGGGGACTGTCAATTAATCCTCGTTTTCCTCCTCTCCGGCGCGGCGCGGCGGCGGCAGCGCGTTCCGGCTGCGAGGATTAATTCCACGTAGGCGGACTATCGATCGCAGGCACACGCACATAAGGACGCCCGACCTCGGGAGGCCCCGCGGCCGCGGTGGAAAGCGAGAAACAATCCCCGTGCGCTGAATATCACGCGCGCGTGAGCGCAAGCACGCAGCCGTCCGCTCAATTTTCACAGCTGCTAGCTCTCAAAACAGCCTTGAGCTACTTCGAGAGAGGCGTCGCGGACTCTCGGTTGCAAGGTTTCTGGAGCAATTAATAATACGGCTGAAAACGGCTTTCCGCCTCTTTCACCCGTCTTGAGCGATGAAACAAATGAGCGCGCGTCGGCAGGGAAGCAGGAATAAGCTATGAGCGCGAAGAAGCGCGGATAGAAATCGATCGAGCGGCGAAATGTATCAGCTTCGGGCGCCGAGGGAAAGGAATCACTTAGCGATCGCGCGGCGAGAGCGAGGCGACGCGAGGTAGAACGCGAGGTAGTTTATCGTTATCAGAGCCCCGATGAGACGCGTGATCATCTGGTGGATCATCGAAATGTAGAAAGGAAACGCGATCGATGGTGCAGCCTTGATCCATCTGAGAACAATTACCCAAGCGAGTGCACTCGCTCACGGCGGGAGCGAGAGCGCGCGCGCGCGAGAGAGAGAGAGAGAGAGAGAGAGAAAGAGTTGCGACACTTACACAGCGGCTTCTCACCACGCTCTGTGCTCGCCTAAGTTTCGCAACGCCGACGCTTCTCCGAGATTTATGCAATCCACGGATGCGTAGTGGCCTTTGACTACTTTCCTCGGCTACGTGCAGCACGCGGGACGATTCATCGGGGCCGCGCGTCGGGTAGACCCGCGGCCGAGGCTGCAGACGGGACGTACTTATCTGGAACACGCGCGCAATTTCCGAGCCGTGGGAAGTCCCGTCGATCAGCGTCGATCGCTGTGCGCGGCCAACCGCCGAGTCCCCGAGGATTTTCCCCGATAACGAGACGAGCTCTCTCGCGTACGTTGCAGGAATTCTACTGGTCCACGCGGTCTCCGCTGCGCTGAAGACCAGGCCGAAATTCAAGATCGCGACTACCTCCACGACGACGACGAGCACCACGACCGAGGAGCCCCGCGCGGAAGAAGGTGAAAACGCCAGTTCGGAGGTACGTACTCCTCTCTCTCTGTCTGCGAGCGATATCGATAGTCGGATCATATATGTACATTTATAATCGTCTCGAGTTTCCTTCCAACTTCTCCGCGGCACTCGGAACGATCCGTATATCACTCACTCGAATGACTTTGAGACGATCTTGGCTGTGACAGCCGACTATAAATATCATTGAGATATAAATAACGACGGAAAGAACGACGCGACGTGATATCGTTAGATATTCTTCGAATTATCTAACGAGCCTCGGCAAGGATTCCACAAATGTCCGTGTAACTTAATCTCGGCCGATAAGAGCCGCGCGAGAGTCGCAACGTTGTCATCTTTCACTCTTAATCGCCAGAATGAATTTACGAGGGCAAGGTTCTTCTTGGGTTACGAGGGAAGGTTCTCGACCTAACAACGAAAGAAAATTCTTTTTGCCGTGAAATATGTTTTACTTTTCAATATAATCTCCTGAAACTTCAATACATTTGTTCCGACGTCTCTTCAACGATCCAACACCATCGTTAAAGTGTGATTCCGGAAGGTTCTTTTCGCTCTGGTGGATTCAAGTTTCATCAACAGTTACGAAACGCGAAACGCTTGAAATCCATTTTATTTTGCTCAAAACGATCGAAATGTGCCAGACACGCATTCGAATGCGTTTTCCGTCAATTGTTAGCAAATGCGGCGCCCATCTTGCACAAAGCTTCCTCAACTGTGGTGCTACTACACGAATGACTTGACAGATCGAATAAAATTTTACATGGGTTTATATCAGGGATGCCACTTTCCGATGCAATTATAGTTTGACAGTTTCTAACGTCTCGTGTCGTATGCGTCAGGTCGAGAACTTTTCAGACTGCAGACTACGTATTTATTTATTTTTTATTCATTATTAAGGAATTTCCAGTGATCGAACATCCGAGAGCCCGAGTGCAGTTTCGTTCAGCGCCATAGATCCGATTTTGCTCGTCGGCGTTTCGATCGGCGATCGATCTTACCGTCACCAGAGCGCGACGTACGATCGGCCGAGAGGGCGATCGGGGGGTCGCGGTAATTTTTCAGCGATACTCGATTCTCGACTCAAGCGGTACACGGAACTGTGTGTACCGCGCGCGGTGAAACCTGCGCTGCGATCTGTGAACGATCAAGCCGAAATTACGGCGAGTTCCAACCCTCCGGGTGCCGGCCAATGGGTCGCGCAACGGTTGTCGTGTTGTTTCGCGAGATGCAGGCGAAACGCGATCGTTTACCGCCGGTCGTTGCGAAACCGATTCCACGACGGGTCACGACACGACGTCGTTACACGTGCGCCGGGCACGAGCTCTTATCTCGTCAACACGCCTCTTTGCAAACAAACAGTGGAAGGAAGCCTCGCGATAATGCGGCCGAATGTGTGCGAATGCTAATTAGCCGCTGATATTGCGCGCGCGCGCGCGCGTTATCGTTCGCCGGATCACGATGCGTGCGGAAAAGCCGGATCGAGCCACACCGGCGGCAAATTAATGAACATCAGGTGAGACGCGCGGTGAGTTCACCTTCGCACGCAAATGCCGATGTGACATCACCAAATGGTAGCCGAGTGCTCATCGCTAAGCATTATTGCACGGCTCGCAGCGGCTCGCGGCTCCATCAAGCGTAAAATAAGTTTTCCAGCGGAGCCGCTACGACGGCCGAGCTCTTCCGTCCGACGACACGGAAATTGTTATTACCGAGCCAAGTCGAACGTCGAATCAATCCCGCAGGAAATGAAGGCTACTTTTGCGAAATGCGCGACATCGACGCAGGCGCATCTGCGTATCGAGGATTTTAATGAAGACGCAGGCTATGTCTCGGATATGTGCAATCACGATCTATTGGAAAATAAAAGGCACCCACACACCGGCTCTCGTGGATCTCTATTTTAGTTAATCCTGACGAGGTGTGGGGGTCTGAAGAATTTGATTTAAGGGTTGAAATTTTGATGGGAATTTCTTTTTCCCCGTGTCGCGCGTGTCGCAGCACTGACAAGTAAACCTACCTACCTACCCAAGTGTCCCATTCCGATTTTGATGAAATTTTGCATGCTTATAGAGCATCGAAGAACACTAGATACGTATTTTTTTTTATATCGGCCCATCAAGCGTTTTAAGGATAGAGATTAAACCATTAAAATGTCAATTTTTTCGCTTTCTTGTCCTGTACATAAATACTCAACGTCAAGAAATGTTTGAGAAAATAATGTTTCCAGAAGAACAACACATCAGCTGTTTTTATGTTACCAAATCCGATTGCACCAGAAAATTTGAGACTTTCAAAATGGCGGATCGATACTTGAAGAACATCATATTTTTCGAAGGTACATTTATTAATTTCTCGTGAGTCATGTATCTCAAGATCTTCGGAATTAAAAACTATAATACATAATCAAATTTAGAAAGCTATATGTAATAATATATACTTCACATATATACTCATTAGACGAATAGGTCCACATTATATATCTTCATTATTTGGGCAAAGCATCCGTTTCATTTACTTATCAGCCTAGAGAAGCCACATACAAAATCATACACCAATTCCAAAAATTGATAGAGAAATGTTCTCAAATTTTCATCCGCCGTGATGAGTCCGACTGATTTTGAGTTTTAAAATCCGATTCTAGATTTGCTTCTTACTCCGAAGACCTTGAAATATGTAAATCGCAGAACATTAATAAATGTATGCCAATTACGACAGAATCATGATATTCTTCAAATATCGATCCGCCATTTTGAAAGTCTCAAATTTTCACGGTGAATTCGAATTTGGTAACATAAAAACAACCGATGTGTTTCTCTGGAAACATTATTTTCTCAAACATTTCGTGATATTGAGCATCTATATATATATATATATATATATAACGCTTTATGGGCCGATATAAAAAAATATGTGTCTAATATTTTTCGATGCTCTATACGCATGCAAAATTTCATCAAAATCGGAGTGAGACACTCCGGGTAGGTTTACTTGTGAGGACCGCCGGAAAATCGCGACCCTGGGCAGACTTGACCGCGACGTTCGCTTCGTTCCAGACGACGACGGTGGCGACGACGACCGAGACCAACGCGACGACCGGCCATACTTTGACGGGAATCCCGCAGATCGATTACATATGGGACCCGAATCTGCCTCGCGAGCTCAACGGCTACAATCTCAGCGACTACCCGTTCTACAATAGCATTCCCGAAGATATCGACTTCAAGTGCGACGGCTTGCACGACGGATTCTACGCCAGCGTGCCGCACAAATGCCAGGTAATTAAATCAATGATGAATCGTCCGTATCGAGGGAGGCAGAGATGTACCGACAAGGAATGCGTGTCTCTTCGACTACTAATGACTCGAGATGACGAGTAATCCCGCATCGATTATGTCTTGGGATCTCCGCTTACGATTTCCCGAGATCTACGTAGATTCAAGTCAGAGGTGTAGCGTGTTTCTCAAATACGCGAGTTTCCAAGTGGAGAAGCCAATAATATCGCGCCAATAATTTTCCCAGCCTTTATTTCACATTAGAATGTTATTTGCCTTTTATCTGTTGTCTCATCGAGTATAATAGTCGCGATAAGAGTGAAATCCCCCATCTTGGAACAAATTTGAGAATTTTAGTCGGAGTCTACGCAGCGTACGGGGAGATCTTGGGAAACTTCTACGCGTGATTTAATAACACGCGCGAGAGTTGCTTAGTTGCACGTTTTGCGAACTCGGTATCACACACACACACACACACACACACATACCAAACGACTAGACCGATTAAGAATCGTCTATCAAAGACCGTCTCACCGTCGCCACATCCGCAGTTGGAACGGCCGGCAAGCTGCTATTATTTCCCCGGCAAAAGAAGCTCACGGCGATGCCACCGTGGCGAGAGGGAAGTCGGTGTCGGCTGAGCGGATCGCCGACGAAACGGCGTCTCGCGACGACGCTCCTCCGCCGCTCCTCCGCGTAATAAACAGGTGTCAATGATCCGATCTCGAGCGGCGTTTCTAATGCCGACGGAAGGCAGCGATCACGCCGCGGATTACTCGCGACGAGAAGAGTCGTCGCCGGGCCATTGGCAGACGACAGGCACCGAAAGACACCGCCGTACGCGAAACCGCGAAACGAACGAAAGCGAGCACTCGGCCAGTGCGCGGGCGAGTGCAAAAAAATGCGTATCGATCGGCCACACTTTTACCAATCATCCGAGCCGAGAGCGATCCCTCGGTTTCACCGAGCGCGCGCGAATCCCGGCCGGCGCGGCGCGGCGCGACGCGGCGCGGGTGAAATCGAGAAATCATCGTGGCCGACGCGGCGGACAAAAGCGACGCGTAATTACACGAGCAGGCGACAATTATCGCCGTGAGATAAGCCGTGTCTTTCGCGACGCGAGCGGCTTGGACTTTTCCGCGCCGGGGTGGCAGACGCGACTCAACAGCGTCGTGCTGCGGCGGCGAAAAGACCGCCGATTCGGATGATCGCGCGCTGTCAGTTTCCACCCGCGGATATCGTCGCACGCATCACCGATCGAGGCTGCGTCGATCGATCGATCGATCTCACGAGCGTAATCACAACTGGCGCTTGCCGGCAATTTTGTTTTTACTTTATTTTCTATACTCGTGTATTCATATGAGAACGAAGCTTCTGATGATGTACACTTGCAAAGCAAAACGGTTTCGACAGTTTGTTTTTCCAGTGACATGGGTGGTCCGTGTAGTTGTGAATTTGAGAATCACTCCTTGACCTAATTGCACAACAAACAATGATCGCGAGTCTCTCTCTCTCTCTCTCTCTCTCTCTCTCTCTCTCTCTTGCGTAAGTGATTTTCAAATTCACAACTTCACGGATTATCCGTGTCACTAGAGAAAAGAAAGAAATCGTTTTGTTTTTCAATGTACGTATCGCGAGATGTAAGTATGACAGTCTCAAACCGAGACGAGTCAATCGAGTCAGTCAGTCACTTTGAGAGGGGAGAGAACGTATCAAGGAGCGCTCTAGTAAAATTATTATTCAGCCATGTGTGATTCTAGCGGCCAATGAAGCATCATTAGTATTACAATTATCATCAAATAGGTCCAGATGGAATAGATCTAGATATGCGATTAACGCGATTATTAATTTCACTTACGACGGATCACATACGCGCGCGAAACAGCGTTTCGTAGAGCGGCCATTATTCAAATCAGGCGAGATGCTAATTTCTAATCTCGCGGATTGATCAGGGTCGCGCGCGGCGAGAACGGTGCTCTCGCAGAAGGAGCAGGAGAGGACTGTCGAATAATCGGTGTTCGCGCCATTATTAATCTTGCATTATCGCGCCGGCTGCAACGCAGCGATGCAGAGCGTACGTGCGCGCTCGCCGGGTTCGCTGAGTTCGAGAAATCGATATCGAAAGTGAAGACGCAGGAGGCATCTTTGGCCGGCCGCGGTAACAACAACAAGGTCGCTGTGCACAAGATGGAAAGACCAGCCGAGGAGGAGGAGGAGGAGGAGGAGGAGGACTTTCTTGGTCCGCTACGCTTCCCGTCCCTGACCGTTCCGCGATTCACGCGCGCGCGAATCCTGAAATTGTGAAAGCGATTGCAAAGTAGCCCCTTTCCGAGCCGGCTCGCCGCTTATCGATCGTTTTCACGGGGCTGCAGAGCGAATGGAGGCATTGTCATGCAAATATCCGCGAGGCTCGTCGAGTCGAGAGAGAGAGAGAGAGAGAGAGAGAGGCTGCGTGTCGCATCGCGTCGCCGTGAAAGGCCAAAGAGGCGGCTTTACGTCAGCGCGCGCGCTCGCGCGCGCGATTCGCGAGAGATTGTCGCGGAAAAGAGATTGGGAAATGAGCGATTAATCCGCTTTCCGCCGGGAGATCGCTCGCGATCGGGACACTTTTGCCCCGGTGCTTCCTTTCTTCTTTCCTTCCTTCCTTCCTTCCTTCCTGCGATCGCGCCGCGGCATTTACAATTGTAATGGTCCCACGACTGATTAATGCTGCCGAGCGTGATCGATGCGATGCGGCGCGGCGCAGCGCGGCGTGGCGCTGCGTAACGCTCGCGGGGCGCGATAACACCGGGGCCAGCCGTAAATTCCGCGACGGCACGTCGGCACCCGGACGACGAGCGTTAGCGGAGATCGCTAGCGGAAAGCATTACATGCCGGTGAAATAAAGAAAGACGCGTTCTGAATATTTCCAGCGCCGGTTCTCATGCAAATGAACCCGCGCGCGATTCGTTTTCCGGCATCCGCCGTCGCAGTGAAGGAAGTATGAATGTCTTTCCCTCCCTTCTCTCTCTCTCTCTCTCTCTCTCTCTCTCTCTCTCTCTCTCTCTCTCTCTCTCTCTCTCTCTCTCTATTTGTCGGTCTGTCTCTCCCGCCGACTTTCCACCGTAAATTCTTCACCGAGTCGAAATCGCCGAGAGTGATCTCTTCTCCGAGGAGAAGAAGACCTCGCCGGGGAGAAATATCGATCGTCAGAGCGGAAATTCCGTCGTTTCAAGACGCTCCACATTGGGCCAGGAGACTAGAAAAAGTGGCCAAAATTTGGTTGCAAAATTTCGCGTAGAGGAGCATATTAACCTTATCTAAATAAGTCAAAGTGCTGTTTTTTTATAAAAATTTTATATCGATTGGTTAATTAATCTTCCATTAACAACGTCTTGAACCCAAAAATTTTCCTATAAGTAAGAAGAATTATTTTTCTTGAAGATTTTCATAATTCTGACTACATTACACAAATTTCAATATTTTCCTCTCATTTTTAAAAATGTTGTGTATACACTTCATCATCATGTAAATATCCCTATAAACACGAGAATTAAAAACTGTTATTGCTTTGGCCCATTGTACGTCTGCTTTATTGAATTTTATAGTGTCATATGCGCTGTCGAATCACGATAACACGTCATAACACGCTCGATCAAGCCAAAAACGATTTCATAGCATTCCTTCCAATGAATATTTGAAGTTTAGTCGGCGACTTTTTTGCGCTTTCGCGGATATCTTATAGGAATTCGTAAAATATATCGTAAAGCACTCGCTCTGTTTCCAAAATAAATATATCGAGACTAACAAAAAGGGAAGATCTTGACAAAATTCCCAGTGATTTTGACAGACACTTGGACGTTGATCACATTTTGATTTGACATTCTTTTTACATCTTACACTTTTTTATTTTTTTTATTACATTCTTTTTTCAGTATCAAATTGCTACACAGTCAGAGCATTTTTAGCAATTTCGTCCGCCATATTGGATCCGCCATTTTGAATTTTTGAATTTTGAATACAAACTCGAAATTAGCGACCTCGAGAACCCTTTAGTATCAAATTGCCACACAGTCAGAGCATTTTTAGCAATTTCGTCCGCCATATTGGATCCGCCATTTTGAATTTTTGAATTTTGAATACAAACTCGAAATTAGCGACCTCGAGAACCCTTTAGTATCAAATTGCCACACAGTCAGAGCATTTTTAGCAATTTCGTCCGCCATATTGGATCCGCCATTGTGAATTTCTGAGTTTTGAGTACGGATTCGAAATCAGCAACCCCGAGAACCTCGGACTGCCCACATTTCATAACAATCGAAACACTTTTAGTATTCTGGCCACTTTTTCAATTTCCTGGCCAACAGTGCGCTCCGTCGCGAACGATCGCCGAGCGACGTTCAGACGAGTTCGCGGCGTTCGATCGTAGGACGCGCCGGACGACAAATCGGGCCAAGGATGCGCAATGCTCGCGGTAAGGAGATCCTAATGACTCCAATAACACTTCGAGTCGAGATTACCGCTCGGCGCATGCATCTACGTACGAGCGTACGTGAGGATCGTTAGAGGCGCGCGCGATTGGGGGGGGCGTTCGATGATCGTCTGACATTTAGGATGACGGATTGAGTAAGATTCATCAACTATTATTGGAAGAGCGGCCGCGCGGCGGTGGGGGGGGGGGGGGCGACGGGGAGCGGCGAGCCGCGTACATCGCGGCGGAGCGGTTCCCGAAGTGAAACCGAAGCGTCGAGCGTTGGCTCACCGAAAGGATGTGCTCTGAATCTGATCCTAGATCATTCCTCCGCCGGACAATCCCACGGCGCGTTCCAGATAACGTCGGGAGCTTCTCCTCATACATACGGTGCGCTACGTACGTGAAGTACCGCCACAATGCGCGCATTTGCGCGACCCGGCGCAATTACTCGCGCTCGCACACGCAGCCGCCGTGAGCGTGAAAGCTACGCGCTACCGTGGCGTGCGAGATCGCTCGCTCGTCCGGTGAAAAGTGTGCTAAAATCGTCATGTCGCCGACGCGTTACAGCCCGCCGGTTACGAGAAGGCGGCCGCCGAGAAAGAGAGAGAGAGAGAGAGAGAGAGAGAGAGAGAGCGACGGACCGCGAGATTAGAATCGAGCGATTAGACGCGAGCGAGATTCGCGCTCGACGAGTTCGACGGCGAAGAACGGCCGAGAGAGAGAGAGAGAGAGAGAGAGAGAGAGAGAGAGAGAGAGAAGGGTCGCCGTCGTCGCCACTGAAAATCGCGAAAGTTCGGCGGATCACGTCGATCGCGCCGCGGCCCGCTTTCACCCATCGATCGATTCGATTTCGTAAACCGCCCAGCCCATTCGTCGAAATCGGCTCGGCGCTGTCGTGAATCGCGCTTGCGCCTCTGATGAATGTCTAATGTCTTTCTCTGCCACTCCCACCCTTCAAGGTCTATCACCATTGCCTGTTCGGCACTCGCTACGACTTCCTGTGCGCCAACTTCACGGCGTTCGACCAGAAGACCTTCATCTGCCACTTCGTCTCGGAGGTCGACTGCGCCAACTCCAAGAAGTACTGGCACAGGAACGACGCCCTTTACCAAGTGACCACCACCACCACGACGAGCACCACCACGACCACCGTGGCGCCGGTCACCGCGCCGACCAGCCGGCCAGCTGTCCGCGAGAGGATACCACCGCGGAGGCGACCTCCGGCGCGAAGGAGACCCTACGATTACTACGAGGAGGACTACTACGATGACGAATACAGCAGACCGTCGCGAGACTTTGCCGGCAGGGACGATTACGAGTACGACGACCGGAAGTACAGGAGGGACAGGGATCGCGAGTTCCGGGATCGAGACCGTGATCGTGACTTCCGGGATAGGGAGCGCGGTAGAGAAGGGTCCGCTAGAGACGATAGGGATCGAGACACCGGCAGAGACAGGTACGCCGGTAGGGGCAATAGAAGAGAGCCGCCCAGGTCGAGGGAGCCGCTGGAGGACGACGTGAGGCCCCGCGGCAGGAACCCCGATCAGGGTGTTAGATCTACGTCGCGGGAAGTGGACGACACGGACGTGTACGAGAGGCGTGCGGAAGCGAGGAACAGGGACGCCGACGAGCGGAGATATTCCGATAAGAGGTGAGAACACGGTCGTTGTCTTGACGGATCGTGCGGACAGCGTGCGAACGATGAAATGCTGAGAGATGAGGCAAATTAGCCAGAGATGACGAAGCTTCGAGAATTCCCGAATTACGTGTTGTTCGGATAGACTGCGCGTGCGTTATCGCGCAGGCGAGAGACAAAATATCGGAGTCGGTGATTCAACTTTGGTAATTTTTCTTTGCTCATCTACGGCGAAATTAATTTCTCGCAAATATATATTATAAATATATGATAATAAATGTAACAAGTATTGGGACTTTTGGAATTGTAACTTAATTCACTTCTGCGACTTGAACTTAAACCGCGCGCTCCGTTCGTTTCCAGATTCCGGGACGATTACGACGAGAAAGAGTCCGCGGCGCCGCCGTCGGCGAGCGCGACCGCGAGCACGGATGGTCTGGTGAAGCCGGCGGCACCCATCAGCTCGGTGTATGCGAGGCCAAGGGCGCCGCCGAAGATCCGACGACCCGTGCCGCTGGCGGAGCAGGACAGATACGCGTACAAGACCACTTCGGCGCAACCGGCAGGTAAGATCAACATACGACACGGGACACTCTCGAGGGAGGGAGGGAGGGAGGGAGTCGCCCTCTTCGGGGGGTAACTGGAAACGTGAAACTGTGTCTGTGATTAAAGAGGAGCCACGTCGGCGACCTGCTGATCTCGCCGAGGACGATTACTACGACGACGAGTTGGAGGATGTCAGGCCGATCAGGAGACCGATCCGGAGGAGACCCTCGTACAGGGAAAGGGACAGGGACAGAGACCGCGACAGGGACTTTTACGAAACCCGGGACAGGGATCGTCCCCTCAGGTAAGGTAACGTACACAACGCCGATATGCCGGTTATGCACGATTAACTAATCAGATCGCATACATACGCATGCCAATGAGCGATAGTAATTTAATATTCAACGATCGTCATTAGTTGCGTTATCGAGCCTTTTCGTCAGACGACCCGACGACGACGCAATCGCACTTCTCGCACGTCATTCCGACAATGACATCAAGACACTGAGTGTGTCAGCACCCGCTGATATCCGCTGATGTTGTATCTTTCTTATCGTTATAAAATTTAACTTTTCCCACACACGAGAGAGAGAGAGAGAGAGGAACTATATGGGGAATTTAGAATTGCTCAGTGATAGGCGGAAACGCGGTTCTATCGGACACCGAAACACGATCATCGATACCATATTCATCGCCGAATTCATTAACAGCGATCAATACCGCGGAATAATTAATTTTCCAGAACCCGTTATCACTCACCGCCGGAAGAAGTACGACTCAGGACGCATCAGGATCGCTCGAGGGATCGCTACTACGATCGAGAGAGGGACCGGGGTAGCAGAGACCGCGCTCTCGATCGCGGTAAAGATCGTAGCCCCGAGAGAGCCCTGGATCGCGATCGAGGAAGATCGCAGGATCCCGAGAGACCGTCCGATCGCGATCGAGGACGATCGCAGGATCCGGAGAGGACGTCCGATCGCGATCGAGGACGATCGCAGGATCCGGAGAGGACGTCCGATCGCGATCGAGGACGAACGCAGGATCCGGAGAGGACGTCCGATCGCGATCGGGGACGAACGCAGGATCCGGAGAGGACGTCCGATCGCGATCGGGGACGAACGCAGGATCCGGAGAGGACGTCCGATCGCGATCGGGGACGATCGCAGGATCCCGACAGGCAGGAGCGGCCGTACTCGCCGCGGCTCCTCGACCGCGACAGAGACGCCGAACGATCGCGAGCGTCCTCGAGAGCGAAGGATCTCTCGGACACCACCGAGACGTCCAGGAGACCGAGCTCGTACGATCGAACGACCGAGAAGACAAGCACCACCACAACAAGCGCTACCACGACAACTACTTGCTCACCGGAACAACTCGTCCACAAGTCCGAAGCGGACTCGAGAGACTCGCTGATCGATCGCCCGGAAAAGCCTTCTTACCCGGAGCGACCAGCTAGACCTACTCAGACTGCTCAAAGTGGTCGGGTCGATGCGCAAGACTACCACAGAAACCTGTCTGAGAAGTCCCAGAGAACCTCTCAGCAGACGGATTACCAAGACAGAGACTTGGCCGGTCGAAATGAGCAGGCTCACTACCAGATCCCAACCGATGAATACTCCGCCGAGTACTACGACGAGCCGTTGGAGGAACCGCCGTCTCCTCCACCACCTCGAACCACTGTTCGAATCGTGAAGAGACCCTTCTTACCGTCTCGTGGCGGCAATCCTAATCCGAGAGGATTATCGCCGGTTGGCTCGAAAGCGCCGCACTCGTCCAGGAGGGACGAGGAGGTGACGACCGATCATCGAGTCATCACTACCCTGCTGGCTGAGAACGACCACAAGGGTTATTATGTGCAGGAGGACGGTATTCAAGAGGACGGTAGAGATATCAGTCTGGAATCCCGTGTGAAAACGGACGGCAACAAGCAGGCGTACGACGCCTACAAAACCATCCAGAGCGATCAGCAGAAGCAACAGCAGGATGAGTACGACACCGCGATATCCAGGCCGGCGATACGAAGACCGATAAAGAAGAACCGTGAAGAAGAGGAGGTGCAGCTGGAGGAAGAGGAGGAGGAGGAGGAGGAGGAGGAGGAGGTCTCGAAGGGTCCGGAGGACCTCTCCAACTCGTCGCGAGGATACTCCACGCAGAACCAATCGTACGATACACGCCATCATCATCATCATCATCATCATCATCATCATCAGACCGAGAACCTGGCGCCGAAGTGGATCGAGAACTATTCGAGCGAGAAGCACGCGAACGCCGACAACGTGCAGCAGACCTCTTTGGGTTCACCGACCCGCAGCAAGGCCAGACTTCCTTCCACCGAGACTCCCAACATCTACAGCTCGACGTACAAGAGCGAAGACATCCAAGACCTGCCGTCGGGCCCGGGTAGCTACCGGGTGAAGCAGAGGATCAACGAGGTGACGCATCGGCTTCAGGATATCCCCGAGAGCGAGTACGACGTTACGTTGAACGACGCTCTGACACCCACCCTGATTCAGGAAGCCAACCTGCCGAGCGGATTCGTCCTGCCCCTTCATCGACAGCAACTGAGCCGAGACACCGTCCTGCAGTCTTCCGAGAACAACTACAAGCTCTCCAGACCGATCAATCAGCAGCAGCAACAGCAGCAGCAGCAGCAGCAGCAGCAGCAGAAACCGTTCGTCCCGAGCCCACAGTTCCTGCCGACGAGCGTCAACAACGACCGAGGTCGCACGGTGTACTACCGGACGCCGGAGAATGTACAGATCAGCGGAGCGCAATACAGACAGCAGAGAACATGGCAGGATTATTCCGCGTATTGACGAAGGGAAGAGAGAGATATACACTCGGGCGGTATCACGACATCACGACGTGCTCTCTAAATTTTCTCGAGACGAGTGAATCAGCCAGCTCGCAGCGCGCCAGTGAAGAGATACCGTCGCAGGGGAAAATAATCTCAGCCCGTGCAGCCGAGAACTCGCTGAAGAGGAACGACCACGACCACATCTCGATTATCGCGACCGAAGAGAATTTCGTCCGCGAGGAGAGCCGCGTTGAAACTCGGTCGGGATAACTGAGAGAACGATCGAACTGGGAAGTCTCCCCGCAGGCATTTCTCTCTTCTTATCAGCGAGTTTTCGTCTGGGCCTGGCAGGTCGGTCGGGTTGGGCTGAATTTGCCCCTGCAACATCGGCGGATTCATCGAGCTTTGTACGAGAATGTATATTCCACTTGGCGATCACACGGAGCGCGGAGAGAGAATCTACTGCGTGCGAGTCGCTCGGATTCGCTTGTCACTCTACTTATCCAGGGAAATCTCGCTCTCGGAGAGATTCAGATGGTGTCACGAACCGAGCGATCGAAAATCCTCGGAGCGAGCACGGAAGCGCGCGCGCGCGTGTGTATCGTCAATCTCAATTTCGGATAGGCTCTCGCTTGATCACGAGCACGAAGCGACTAATTTATATACACTGCCACCACCACCACCACCACCACCACCAGCCCCGATCGACAACTCAGGAAAGACACTTTCATGAAAGAAACCCGGGCTTAATCTACTTATTCGTTCTCTTATGAAACTGGCTTTCCGCGAACGGACGTCGCGCTCGACGCTCACAGCCCACTCACCGCCCTTTTGTAATCGGACGATCGGTGTCTTTCGTTCCAAAGAACGCGCGACGGGGATGTCCGTCTCGTCGCGCCGCTCTGAGGATAGGAACTAATCCGCGAACGATTCAGCTAGGTAATTAGTAAGTCTCGCGCGAGCGCCCGCGGGCGCGTCGGTGAGCTTTCGAGATAATAAATTATTCGGTGAAAATTTTAAAAAAAGAGGGAAAGAGAGGAGAGAAGAAAGAAGGAGGAGAGAAACGAAAGAGAGAGAGAGAGAGAGAGAGAGAGAGAGAGGGGGGGGCGAGATTGTTGTGAATCGTAAAGTGGCGTCGCGTCACGACTCTTAGGAAAGCAAACACGATCCAGAAGTGCGACGCGTGTCGGCAATGAGATATTATTAGTCATCCTGACACTCATCAACATCCATCGTTACTCATCACACAAACACCGCGATTAAGGAACAAAGACAAGGGGCCAATTAACGTCCGTCGATAACGGCGATCGTAGATAATTCGTTCGGAGAAGTTCGCGCTAGATGAAAATTCGGGATAATTAGCGAATCCGGTTACTAACGAATGCGAAAGGATGTGCCGCTCGGTGTGTTTCCTGCCAATGAAACGCGCTCGAAACGCGATGACCACAATACGGCGATGACGATTCAATTCTGTCAATTCGCGCGTTTACCCGCGCGAGTCAGGCGGGTGTCGGAATCTCCATCGATTGTTCCCGAGGCGTGCTGAAAACATACCCTCCTCCTTCTCCTCCTTCTCCCTCATGTCGATCGAACTTGTAAATAAACGTACGGATTCTATTCTACGCACATTCGTGAAACGGCAATTCGGAATGCAACATACGCGATTCTCTAGAAAGGAAAACAAGGAGCTGTACACATTAAGGTTTCATCCTTCCTCACGAATCTTGATAGACGTTACACTAGCGAGTAAGTCTTCCTGAGCGTATATCTTGTCTTAAAGCTATGTCGATATTTACGTACGAAATAAAAGAGTGAGAAAAAAAAGAAGATATCACACTTACCGTCGTTATTCATCGTCCCTCTCCTGGTCCTCAGAGGAGAAGCTTGCGCGCGATCAACGAACGCAAGACACCGCGAGACGCGGCGGCGAGTACAGTTGCAGAGCTTTTAAAGTGAGCTTTATTATTATAGTACAAATGAGATAAATTACACAACGGGAATATATCTCGATGCTAGAAGAAACATTGATAAAACGTGTGTTACAAGATCAGATCGGGAGAAATAAACCTGCGGTCTCGCGAAGGCAACGAAATAACTTCGCGCGTTTCGCGGCTTTCAAGCGGCACAACCTTCTCCTTCTTCCGGAGAGCTTTTAAACAACGCTGACACCAGCTTACAGCCGCCTCGCGACGGCTGCGGGATCTACGCAGGAGAGCGACAGGAGGAATATTATCGAACATTGGTTTCAGCACAACAGAGCACGTAGAGAGAAATATTTACACAACCAAGATAATGCACCAGGAGGATCGAGGGTCGTCCGTCGTGCGGCGCGCGGCGCGCGGAGATGCAGCGGCTCGATCGACGAAATGAACTTCGCGGTCGCGCCGATTGATAGCGCGAGATACATCACAGAATCGCGATTTAGATTACGGCGCAACGTAAACGCGTATACAAATTGTGCGATCGCTGCGAACGACTGATTTGCCGGCGGAGAGAACTCGGCCTAACTCGGAGCGTGCTACGTGCGAACATTATTCCTCGAGAACAAGCGACCACATCGTAGCTCTCGTGCGAGTGTGTGTGTGTGTGTGTGTGTGTGTGTGTGTGTGTGTGTGTCCGCGCCACACAGCTGCGATAATAATTGTCAAGACATTCGGCCGAATCGCGCACAGAAATGTGTGACAACGCGAGCGCGGACAATACTCGCCATTCTCTCAGGAACGTTGTTGAGCAGAGGAGATAGCCGTCTTGCTAAAACCGACACAATGATAATTCGCCAGTACCGCTCGCCGTTTCCTTACATTTGTACTCGCGAACTATAAAAATATGAAATCTCGATCGATGCAGTCTGATCGACACACGACCGAAGAGTCAGTACTATACACTGAATAATTACTATGATTAGATTAGATTCTAGTGCGCGTAGTTCTGTACAAAAACTATAGAGTACAAGAATAGGGTACATATTATATATATATATATATATATATATATATTATATATGTATATATATATATATTATATATGTATATATATATATATATAACTCTCGAAAGCTTATCTCTTGTTAGTCTCTCTCTCGCGAACTCGAAGCCCGCATCGATCATGTGAATCCATCATGTGAACATTGTATAGATAATACATCTTCCCGAATCACATGATTAGATTAGATCAGGAAGAATGGTCGCTGGCAAGATTACGCATTCGCGAGTGGCAAAGGATATATGTACAGATTTCATTATGTTACAGAAAACATCGAAGACACGATAGAAAAAGCGCGATGTTCTTTTGGTATAAATGCAATCGCATCCAAATTTCTCCTGTTTGCGTTTGCAGAAAGGTAACTGTCAGATTTATACACGTGCACGGTGGAGTTGAGAATATTTCGTCACGTCGCCTGTACAACAGCAAGACGGTAAGTACTAATTTGGATCCATGAACGATTCTACTTTGCGTACATCTGGAAGAATCATTTTTTGAAAAAAAAAAAAAAAAGAAGAAAAGAAAAGAAAAAAGAAAATATGTCGCTCGAGAATCTCGAGTAACAAGTAAAACACATGTAGAAAAATATATAAAATAATTTAAGAAACAAATGTCAAATTGATTCCGCCATGCGTGTCGAGCACGTTATAATGAGTCACTCCATTAATAATGCGAGTTCTGTCCTTAAATATAATAATTATGTTGAATAAACAAATCATACTAAAAACTTGAAAACACCAACTTTTAACAACTTTTACAAAGAAAGATGCGTTTAGACGAATTTTTTGTCTTTCCTGCCGCAAAGGCACCCAGGCTGAAAGAAAACTCGCGTTATTCACGGGACGATCCGAAATCATGGAACGTTTCTGCAAAGGAGAAAACTACAAGGAAAGGATTCTGCATCAAGGTAGGGTCACATATGGTACAATTAATACAACTTCTCTAGGTTTCTCGCGCTGAGTGAGGAGGATGGTGATGAGAGAAGCGATCACCGGAGTATCGTATACGGACTACACTAACGCTACGTAAAGTTTACTGACCAGCTTATTAATATCAATGTAAAAAATTATGTTCTCCTGTGGATTCTTACATCTAGTCGCATACGCAGTCCGTTATGCCGCATTCCTTCGCTACCGTCATCACATATAAATATAGTTTCGACCACCAGCGCGAGTAGCGACGACTCTCGTGCGAGCGAGCGAGCGACCACCGGAGAGGAGAGAGCGAGCACCGTGTCAAAATTCACAAACAACAACTCCCGACGAAACCGTCTTTCCTCGCGCGCGACAAAAGAAGACAAAGAGAGAGGAGAAAGGTCGCGCGCGAGTCGAGAAACTGCCACGATCCATCACCCATTTCGCACAATCCACAAAGAGACGCGACTACTCGCGCGCGGGCGTGTCTTTGCATTTGGCCTCGTGATTCATCTCGCCTTCCGTTTCGCTCGCGCGCGCGCACTCCGTGCAACCGCGCTTCCCCGTTTACGCCGCCGCGGAATCACATCCAGACGAGAGTGTCATCCAGAGCGCGAGATAAAGGTCGCGTCATCGGTCGCGAGTAAGGTCGCGCGTGAAAGCGCGTGTCAAAGTCGCGCGGATGTCCGCCGCGGGAAAACGCTGCTGCTGCGTCTCGCTCTTGTCCTCTCTGCTTTCGTCGTTTCTCCCACACCTTTCCTTGTATCTCTCTTTCAATCCCGTCGCCTCGTCGATTCTTACGCTATCGGTGGGTCGTCGTCGTCGTCGTCGTCTCTCGTGACTAGGACATTGCCGTAACGATTGTGACGATATTGCCGAAATCGTTGCAGCCATTTGTACCGTCTCGCGCCGACGTACAGCAGAACGGCAACTACTACGAGGAAGGTTGGTATTAGCAGACCAGCGGCTACGGAGCTACCTAAATCAAATTGATTGACACTTTAGTCGCAGCGATGTCGCAGCGCGCTACACACAGTTGTCGCCGTCGCGCCTTTCGACAGTTCGCTTCGTGCGCGACATTTTCCTTCTGCACACCGTCGCATTATCATATCAGCGTACCGACTAATAGCAAAATAAACGATAGCGCGGGGCTGAAGCGTGGCGTTATCTAAATTGCGAAAACGCTCACGAGCGAATGTAATGACGTGACGTAACGTACGTAACGTACGTCGAGAGGAGACAGCAGAATTGAATTATGTACATCGAGTCAAGCAGTTTGTGCGTCTCCCGCCATTGTGCGCGTGTAAATACTGAATGAAAAGTCACTGCGCATACAAATGCTCCGAAAACGTCTCGGAGAATCATCTCGTCGAGATCGTGCAAAGCCTGCTACGAATGCATGGAAAAAAGAAAGCAATTCGTGTAACTGACTTTCTGTCAGACTTTCGTCCTACGATTCGCTTGTAGGAACGCGAAAATTCCTGCGGAAGGGACTCGCGTTCGGGGATAACCCAGTCCAGAACCACAACGTTGATTCGACGTCGATGAGGGTTGAATTGACGTTGATTCAACGTCGGTTCAACATCGGCCATTTCAGCATCAAATCAACGTCGAATCGACGTTATGGTTCTGACTGGCTAAATCCTTTCCTGGTTATCCCGTGTAAATAAGGTAAATGTCCCAGTAATCGGACAAGTTTAAGACTAAGTCGTCACAAAAAATACAATATTAAGCAATAACAGCTTTGATATAAATATTTGCATTTATTCGAAAACTTAAGATTCCCTTAAGTAGAGAGAAATGATTTAAACCAATATATATATATATATATATATCTATTATTAATGAAATATATTTACACAAGCAACGAAGCGCATCAATGTATCAGCGACCGGACAGTTGAAATAAATTGCCCAAAAGAAATGGCCCAATGTTCGGATATAATTTGTCCCAGTGTCTGACCGCAATTAGAAAATTGCTATGTGCTAGCGGGAAATAATATAAATATAGACGCTATCTCTTAATGAATTAATTTATTAACGATTGACCATTACTTTGCCAAACCATAGGTGTATACTTATTTGATTAATTTTTATTTTAATACAAAAGTACCAAATTGGATATATCGTTTTCCGACTGATCGTCAAATATTGGAATTTTTTTACACTAATTATTACTTTCACTCGTTATTGTTAAAATAAATAATAAATAGTTTCTTTTTCAAAGCGGTCCGGCCGGCTGGGACATTTATCTTACTCTGAATATTTTCCGTCGCAATAACAGGAACATCGCGCGTCTCTCGCGTCCCATCAAAAGCGCGTATCCCCCTCTTCTTTCGTCCCTGCTTTTGTTACACGAACTGACGTTCTTTCCTCCGCGAATTACGACACAAGCGTGTTAAATACGTCAACTCGCGAATTGACCGGGCGCGTGCGCCTCCGTCCCCCTCCGCGCATGCACGACGTACCTCCGGACTCAGGCTTAAGCTCTGGCTTGACGGTGGTGAGGTCGAAGTTCGCCGCCGTCGGGGTGACCCTAACGCATTCTCCGTTAACTAAATGGAAACCGAGCTGACACTCGCACCACCCTTGCTCGGTGCCGTTCGCGCGGCACTTCTCGTGCTTACCGCATTGCATGTGGCTGAGATCCGTGATGCTACACTTCCTCGGTTGCGTCTTGTCGTCTTGCCCCTCTGAAAAGAATCGCTGTCAATATCCTTACAGAGCTAACAGTAGCGAAGCTCGAAGAGCGAACGTAGGTCGGAGCGAGAGGAGCGGAGGGGAGGGGAGGAGTTGTTGGAGCCGATCCTCCGTGAGTCCTTGCGTGAGCGGCAAATCCGATCCGGATCCGCCGCCGATATATCGATATTCAGCACGCCTGCCCGCTTATGAAACGACACGACCCGAGCAGAACATCGTCCCCACGGCCGTATTAAAACCCTATCCGGCTTCCAAACTTCAAATAGAGCCCGGATGATTTTATCGGATCCGGCACGGATAATGAGGAGTGAAACGCACCGCTGCATAATGCCCTGATAAAATTGCCTGAAATCGAGAAACCTGGTCAAATGTCCGTCGGGACCAAATCAGGCATCCAAATAAGTGACGTCATCGCTGCTCGGGATATACGTAATCCGGAAAATATTGCAAGACAATTGCCACGTTCCGACCGGATAAGGACCACTCGAAATGCGCATTCTTATGGCTTGCCTAGTCATGCCGTATCAGGCATAAAAAATTGCCGTATTTGATTTCTGCTCGGGGAGTCGCACCGGGCACCGGGCACCGGGACGAATGATACACCCCCCGCCCCGCCTCGATATAGTTCTGCAACTCTGCAATGATACCGCATGCGGACGCTCGCGCTACCGTCGTTGCCTCCGCATCGTGACGATCGCCGACGGCGAGCGAGAAAATATCATCGCGAGATATCGATGGCACATTTCGAAACGATAAGTCGACGAGAGAGACAAACAACCGGTTGCGGATTAAGAGGACAAACAGTAACTATGAAGGATGATAAGAACAACGACGATAAGAGGATGCGACATGTACAATCGAGAGAGAGAGAGACAGAGACAGACAGACAGACAGAGAGAGAGAGAGAGAGAGAGAGAGAGAAAGAGAGAGAGAGAGAGAGAGAGAGAGAGAGAGAGAGAGAGAGAGAGAGAGAGAGAGAGAGACATAGATAGAGACAGAGACAGAGAGAGAGACAGAGACAGAGACAGAGACAAAGACAGAGACAGAGACAGAGACAGAGAGAGAGAGAATCCACGAGTGGAGGAGAGTTAAGCCGGACGAGCGAAGAGCTGATCTTCCTGCCGCTGCGGTCATCCAACGGGAAGAGGAAGGGAAGGAAAAAAGGAGGGAAATTTATCTCGCTCATCCGACGCCGATAGGTAACGCTGCTCGATTAGTTTGCAATCGCGGGATCACGAACACCGCGATAATGCAAAACAACCACTTGAAATTATGACCGCGATAAGGAACGCGTTTTTGACCCCTGCCCGTTCGGTTACGACATTTTTCGCGACGAGAGGGACAAAGGTGGGACAAAGAGTGGACGCGGCGGCGAGAGAAAGAAAGAGAGGAAAAATGAAAGAGAGGAAGAAAAATAAAAGAGAGAAACGTAAATCACGCTTCGTCCGATCATCGTTCGAGCGCAGACTCGTCGCGCAGAAAGTCGCTGCGGAATGATTCCTTATTTTTTTACCGCGCCGTTTTTCGGCCGTAACGGCGCTGTTGTATCTTCGTGCACTTTATTCGGCATCGTCTCGCCGGCTCTCCACTGAAATGGATGAAATATTCCGCGCGAAGGCAATCCGACAAACCCAAGCCGCACGACGACGGCGGCGGCGGTTCGAAAGCTCCGCTCGCGCCGAGCAAGGGGAGATAAACCGTTGTAATTCCGAAGACAATGCAACGACGATGCGCACCACCTACGCAAACACAAAGACGCGCGCGCGATACAGACTCGTCGTATCGATCATTGCGCGCATCATTGCGACGTTCGATCAAACGCGCGCGCGCGCGCGTCTTTATCACCGAGGCGAGCGGCTTCATTATCTCATCTGGAGCAGAAGACACAAAGAGGGATGCAAGCAGGAGGGAGGGAGAGAGAGAGAGGGGGGGAGAGAGAGAGAGAGAGAGGATGAATGGCATTTTCGTAACTCCATCGGAGTCGCCCGCGCGGGCCGTGATTGGCTGAATCAGTTAATTGAGACGAATTCGTTTTATCAACACACGGGGGTTAACCATACCGAAGCTGAGTCAAGCACGTTAAAGGGACTCACTTGCCTTTGATTCGAGCGGATGGTGCCGCGTTAATAATTCCTGATGTAACGTCGTCGTGCAGCGGCAGCGCGTGATTCATTGCGATGCGTCTAAATAAATATCGACGAGGAGCGGAGGAGGAGAAGGAACGGCCGGTGCGCAACCGCGGTACCGTTGCGCGATCAATTATCCTCGCGGATTAGTCCATGAAGCGGCCCCGGGATCCCCTTTACGGCGTTTTTTTTCTACTTTTTATTGAATGAAGTCACAATGAATAAATACGCAATTTTATATTTTTACGGGTACGTCTCGAGTGCTCGGGCTTCGTATCTACGTCCTCGGTAAAAACAGCCTGAACGTCGATCCGAGACTTCCGGGAAAGATGGACTGATCGCTCGATCAAAGGCGTTTAAAAGATACTGGCCTTCGTCGGGTTGTGAGGAAGAATGTGCGGCATGGTGCGACCACGGCATCTCTCTTGGAAATATCGAGGTTTTCATTGGCGCGAGGAAATGAAGCCAAGCGTCGTCGTCGTCGTCGTCGTCGTCGTCGTCTCTGTCCGCGGCCTCGCGATCACGCGATTTTCCTCGCACGAAACGTTCGACGGCGTGTCGTCATCAGAAACGTCATCTGGTACGGTCGCGCAATTCGTACCGACGATCGCGATCGATCGGTGTTACGTTTCAGCGGCGGTCCCGGCGGGAAAAATCGTAACCCGGAAGACATCGGGTATCCGATTTCGATTTCGTTACCCTCGCGCGTTCCCGCACTCGCGCGGCACCTCACAATACGACGGCATCCGCGAACGCCCCTTCTCTCTCTCTCTCTCTCTCTCTCTCTCTTTCCCTTCCGGCATCGCCGCTTTTCCGCGATAATGTCGTGAAATCGTAGACCGTTCGGTCGCGAACAAAGAGCCTCTTCATCCCGCTTCCAGGAAGTCCACGCTCGGCGGACTCAACCGCCGTTAAATCCCAACCGCGATCAGAATATCCGCCGTCTCGCAAAACACTCTCCCGCTACTCGTTTGCACGCGAGCGCCCGAGGATTAAGATTACACGACGTTATTATTGTGTAACCGTCCACTTCTCCTCGATGAAATCCGGACGATCCGAGTCCGATAGCGGAACGAACGACCGCGAGGCGAGGCGAGGCGAGGCGTAATCACCGCGGGCGAACAATCGTCTAAAGTCGAAGCGCGAATTCCGTCCGTATCCGCGGACTTTCCTTGTGCGCGATGACGTGCCTTTCCGCTTATCCGAGATCTGATTTGAAATGACGAGAGTGGCGTGAATAAAATGATCATAAATTTGAAAGGACTGTCGCGTTAGGAGTTATATCGTTGAATTATCGGTATTGAATTGTCAACTGTATAGCGTTGAATTAGAAACAGTCGTCCGATATCGGCGGGTTTTTCTGCGCGATACGACAAGTAGATGATTTCTCGAATTATCGAAGAAACATCGCGCGGTCGAAGAATGTCGCGCGATGATAACGAGCGCGATATGTAATTCCGTTAAATTTCATTACACGCTTCGGACGTTCGTATCGTGTCTTTCTGCCGCCGGTGTTATCGCGAATGCAGCATTTTGCGGCAATTAACCGCGGCGTCATTAGCATGGTAAAGCAGATATCGGATATCATACATATATATAACCTCACGATGCAAATTTGATTTGATTGCAACGAAACGAAAACAAGGAGAAAAAGAAACACGTGCGCGATATGTTGCACGACTGAATAAACGAACGTAACGTAACGTTGATACAGAAAAGTGTACATTGGGTTTCGCAATCACTTTCCCACGCAGATTAGATGTTAAAAAAAAGAACAAAAGGAAAACGGTCGCACGATGCGATTAAAAAAGAATGTAAACGTCGCTGATACGGCAAAGTCGATTCTCATGGCCATCTTACGACGCAGAATGAATAATATTAGAATAGAAAAAGACACGATAAAGACGATATATATATATATATATATATATATTTGTTGCACTCGTGCTTCCGGAAGTAAGCTTTGAAAGAAGCGAGGCGTTCGATATGTCGAAGCAGGTTTGGAGAAGCTATCGTCCTCCTGGATAACGAATCAATAAAAAGTAGAGAGGCGACAGCTGTCGAAGCAAGCTGATGTGTGGTGATTCGGTCCGCGAGATTCTGTCGTGCGAAAGAGGAACTGTTTAGTTTTTTCGCAAAGCTCGCACATTACGCTTAATTAAACGCTTAGCTTTCTTTTAAAAACACGAATTCAATTTATTCGCCAACTTCCGGACGCGGTTGTGCGAGTGAGCGCAACAATATATATATGGTATATATATATATATATATGTGTGTGTGTGTGTGTGTGTGTGGATAAATAAATTAAATAAACATAAATAAACATCCGCGGAACAGAAAACCGCGATGTGCGATGACACGCGCGCGTTTCCGCTCATATTCCGCGTCAGCTGTTCAAATCTTCGGTCACCGCGGTGAGTTTCGCCGCGTAAACGCGAATTCGACGGAGAATATTCCACGTGCGCGTGTAATGCGGTATCCCGCAGACACATCTTGTTTATTATAGACCGACTGCGAACAGCCTGCGTGAGACACGACCGGAATTTCTCGGGATTTAGCCGAGCGTTATTACGCACGTAGGACATTTTCCTGCTCGGAGAACGCAGCCCAGAGAGAGAGAGAGAGAGAGAGAGGGGGAGGGAGAGGGAGAGAGAAGGGGGCGGAAAAAGAACGAGGAAAGAAGAAAGAAAATATGGAGGACAAAGAATACTCCGCTGTGTGAAACCGCCGGTGATGCGACATCATCGGCTAGCTGACGCGCTATTTAATTTTATATTATATTACCGCTAATTAAATTACTCGTATGCATTTTTCTTGTTGTCACGCAACGAGGAGAGAAAAAAAAGATCTCAGCTCGCGCGAGCGAGGAAAAAGCGGAGCAAGAACTTCGAACCGGCGCATCTCCTGCGTTATCGCAATCGGAAACCTTCGTCTGAACTTCGTTCGACCGCTTTCAAACCCGAACGAGATAACCGAGAACAATTACAGCTGATGATTAGAAACTTCCTACGAGAATCTTTCCGTCTCTACCAGTCAGCGTCGCTATACGACATATCTGCTGCACCGAGAATAAAGCGCGATGTTCAGCTGCGAGATCGAAAATCTCGCAGAAATGTATCGCATCGGTCGAGCCGCAATGCCAAGGTTACACACGAGGGTTCAAACTACAACGGTTTCGACCTCGTCAATGTGGAATGTGCACACGTGAAAATCGTGTAACTCTAGACGCCGGCTGCGCAACAGCGTCCTCGTTCGCTCAGCGGAAGGCGGAAAGCCGGATAAACAGAAAAAAATCTGCTTTACACCGAGCGAGCATTTGCCCCCATCCCCCCCCCCCATGCGCGGGGAAAAGCGGCCGTTGCCAAGTGCGGCCGCGCGGAATAAACAAACGCGCAGCAGCGAAATGCGCGGAAAGCGGCGGCGGGGGGGGGCCGGGGAAAATTCCACGCTGCGCCGAAGGCGCTGAAGGCCCGCCGAGCGTTATTATTCTCGAAAAACGACGAGCGCGCTCGCGCGACCCGCCGTTCCCGCTACTTTTCTTTTCGGCGAATTCCTCGCGCGCGCGCGCGCTACTTACATAAGCTTCCAGTTATTTAAATTAATACCCGAGCCGCTGCAACATGGAACATTGCGCGGAGCCGCGGTCGAAAATCGACGCGTCGTTCTCGGCCGGCCGCGGCTGACACGAATACGCGATCGATAAAAGCGGATGAAACAGAATCAGGACGACGACAACGAGAAAGCAATTTCGGCGGATCCCCGCGATCCGGCGACGACAGATCGTGCTTTTTCTCATTCGCCCCTTTTTCTCGACTCGAATCGCCCGCCCGCGGGCGAAACCGTGGCAGATCGCGACGACGTAAAAGTCCATTTTAAAGCGATGCTGTCATTTCGCGTCGAATGAAAAGAGGATGAAAATCGTATGATCGTATGAGAGTGCCCTTTTAGGGAGTCGTCCGCGTCCTCCGCGCAACACTGTCGGACGAAGTTGGGACAAGATGTATTAAAATCGACGCCGAGACTTAAAGCGGAAAGAGATTGACGTTTTCCACGAAATAACGAGAGACGAAACGCGGAGAGCGGAGGACTTTCAAAAGGACCTACTCGATTTTTTCGAGTTTCGTAAGATGCGTTTCGTAAAAAGCGTCAGGAGCAGATTTGTTAAGAGAGAAAGAGGGAGAGGGGGGGAGAGAGAGACAGAGAGAGAGAGAGAGAGAGAGATCGACACACATACACACGCAGCGCGTGCCAAAGCGCGGTAAAGATACACTCGCCGCGCAAAGGTTACGAGCAGCACAGAAAACGGGCGGATCCCCGCTCGAGGTCGTCTTTAACGAATTCGCGGTAATTTCGTCACGATGCCGACTTCTACCCCGGACTTCTACCGCCGGCGATTGTGACACGCGAAAAGAAAGCACGCCGGCTCGCGTTCGCGTAAAACGCGCGGACCGACGACTCCGCGAGCCTCCGACAAAAATAAAAAACCATCCGTCTCCTCACGAGGCAAATTGTCGCTCATCATATCATTGCGAATGCATTCGTCGCCGGCGAGGATTCTCGCGCGATTATGCGCGGCGATTATCCGGAGAAAAGGATAACGCTGCGACGAATGAGCGTGCCGAACGAAGCGGCCTGCGCGACGAATCGAACGCCGCGCGAAAAATACAGGCGACTTCCTTGTTACACGAAACGCGAAAAGATCGACGAGCAAGCAACGAGAGCGTGTTGCGAAATGAACGGGCAGGTGCGGGCAGGGGCAGGGAGAAAAAAAAATTGCACCGCGAGATCGATAACGGACGATGTTTCGGCGCAGCTTTCAGGGCGCTCGGCGCGAATTCCGTCTCTCGCGCGGCGGCAACGCCGACGAAATTCAGATCGATATGCGCGTACCGTTACTTCTTCCGGATAATCCCCGTCGTTAATTCGGCGTCCGCCTCCGCCCGCGCTCTCCTCGCCCGCAGCTGACTCCTTGACACAGTAATTAATTCTATTTCTGCCGCATATCGCATGCAACAACGACAGATTCCGAGACGCGATACGCCGCTATCGCCGCGGATACTCGCGTGCTTCCTGCTCGCTGCGCACGGAGAAAAACGCACGTCACGGCGCGTCGGGATTAATTATTATTACGACGAGTATTATTACCGAGTATGGTGTCGTGGGATTTCACGCGCCATGGAAAATGCGTTTTCAACGCTTCCCGAAACGACGGAGAAAAACTGAGATAGAGGAAATCACATCATGTGTATGCACACGTAATGCATCACGCACGCATCGCCGTCGTCGTCATCGTCATCGTCGTCGTCGTCGTCGTCGTCGTCGTCGTCGTCGTCGTCGTCGTCGTCGTCGTCGTCGTCGTCGTCGTTGCCGTCATCGTCGTCGTCGTCGCGGATTGATCTCAATTCCCGCGTGGAATCGCGAAGAGCGCCCCGGCTGCGATTCTCTCTCGGAACCGAGATTTTACGGCAGAGAAAGACGAGCGTTACGAAAACAGAAGGAGAAAGAGAGAACGAGGGAGGCGGGAAGAGATGAAGGAAAGAGATGAAGGGGAGAGATGAAGGGGAGAGAGAGAGAGAGAGAGAGAGAGAGAAAGAGAGAGAGAAAGAGAGACAGAGAGGAAGACGGAGAGAGAGAGAGAGAGAGAGAGAGAGAGAGAGAGAGAGAAAACGAGAAAAAGAGACGCACTGACGAAAGAGAGGGAGGGAGAGAAAAAGACGGACAGAGAGACAGAGAGAGAAAGAACGGAAGAAGACCATTGTGACCGAGCTGGGGTGACTCCGGTGCCTCGCTCGGACGAAGCAATTTCGTCGGCTCCAATTTACCAGCGAGCCAGTTCGCGAGGCCGACGCTCGTCGAGATTTTTCTACACCACACTGTCTCCTTCTCGCTCTCTCTCTCTCTCTCTCTTTCTTTCTCTCACCCTCGCGAGGAGGAACGACGCGAGTATAGCACTGATACAACGAGTACTCACCTGCCCGGCTGAGCGTCGGCAGAGCGAAGATCGCTACGATGAGATAGCAGAAAACGTCGGCCCGGGTGCTCCGCATGTTTCCTAGCCTGTCTGCTCTTCCTTCCTTCCTTCCTTCCTTCCTGTCTTCCTTCCTGCCTGTCCTCCGCGTCGCCGCTCTTTCCTCTCGTTCGCCGTCACCGTGTCGTCGCCCCGCGCGCGATTCGCGATCACATAATCAAAGACGCGATTATTCAAAGGCCGCTTCTCTCGTTCGTTTTCACTCTTATCTGTGCGTCTCTTTCTTGCGCGCTCGTTCGCTCGCTCGCTCGCTCGCTCGCTCACTCTCGCTCGCTCGCTTCGCCGCGGCCGTCTCCGGTCGACTTGGAAGTAAACGAATTCGCAACCTCTCTTTCTCTCCGTCTTTCTCTCTCTCTCTCTCTGTGTCTCGCTCTTCTCCTGCTCTCTCTCTCTCTCTCCTCTCTGTCTCCTCTCTTTCTCCCTCGCTCTCCTTCTGACGTATGCGTGCGCGTTCGCGACTCCCCGCTATGCCGGTTCAACGCTCAACGGACGCGCGTCAACCGGCGCATCACCGTACGGCCGACCGCCACCGCTCTTGACAGATAAATGCTACGTCGCGCGCCGTGGAACACGTTCAATCATCTGTTATTAAGCGACCATTTGCAATTATCGAAGGAAATTGACATCGAGGAGTCGCCGCGCGGCAACAGCCGCCACCGGTCGACACTCGACTCGACTCCATTCGAACTTCGAGAGATCGATCCGACGCAAGGAGACGCGAGAGAGACGCTCAAATCGCGAGACCTCGAAGCGGCTTCTTTGGATTCTTCGCGCAGAAACACCGAAAACTTGACGCCTGCGAATGCTCGTATCTTGGTTAGATTGAACAGAGTGTTCTCAAGTGCAAGATTATGACGACTTGGAAATGTATTCTTGCTTCCCAGGTCTCTCAAAATTTGACTCCGACCTCCGGGGATATATATAATGAGCGATCTGGATGTCCCTTTCAGCTGGAATTACATCCTCCGTCCTCCGTCGTTGTTTGTTCGTTAAAAACAGCTGTGTGACAATCAGTTGCATTTTTTATAGCCTGAAGAAAGTTATAATGAAAATTGAACATGTAAAACACGTTTACACCATCTAAAAACACGAACTTTCCCTTTTCAGTTGCATATAATAGGTTGCGATAAAAAATGTTTTCCTCCAGCTATTTAACATTGAGGCGAAAATGCCTTTCCGATTTTGGCCGCTTACTTAAGACGAAAGAACTAATATGATGTTTACTAAATAACAAGTAAAAGTCTAAAATTTTCTTTTAATATAATAATCTTTTAATATCATAATTCTCATATCTATAATTTTTTTTATGCCTAAACCTAATTGAAAAATTATATTGTAAATTAAACGGTCATAATTTTTATTTAACATGATGCGTCTTAGCGTATAATGATGGCAACGTTAGTCTCCTCCTTTTTCATTCAAGACTAGAGACTTTTAGCTGCAAAATGCTTGTCGAATTGTCTCATTATCATTATTATTCTCAAAAATGCAACCTGTTGGATTTTGCTTATTTCGAGAAAAATTGTGGCCGACTTATCGTTGAGTGGGTATCACGAATTAATTAATTGGTATGTAAGTCAGTGGCGACTCGTAGCGGAGACTTTGGAACAAAAGTAAGTAACAGGTCACAACAGTCATAACGGGTTTAAAATACCCCGCGAAAGAGAATTTAGCCGAGACTCAAACTTCTTGGTGTAAGGGTTTGAATTTCAGCTAAGTTTTCTCTTGCTTCGGCACTTTAGACCCGTTATAATTGTTGAGCCCGTCACTTCCTTTAGTTTCAGAGTTTTCGCTACGAGTCGCCACTGACCTTTAAGAGCACGTAATGCGACTCAACGACGTGTCAAGCGTCGTATTTCTCTTTTCCAACAGTGATTCAGAAAATATCTTTTCTTCAAGCAGCACGGCTCAGCGCCTCAGGGTCGAGGATTAACTCTTCCCGTTAATACAAAGTACGTGAAACTGGTCGGACGCTTTTTCAAATTTAACAATTCAACAGCAAGTTAGAAGAGCTCAATTCTGAGCGGTACAACTCAACGACTGAGCAGACGTACCTTTAACTTCCAAGTTAAGCCAGCGGCACACGGTGCTTGTTTTCGTGCTGGATTGCTTGCTGGATGAAAATGCTGCGTTCTGATTGGTACATTTCCGAAGATGGATGGAAATGCACCAATCGGAACGCAGTATTCTCATCCAGCAAGCAATCCCAGCACGAAAACAAGCACCGTGTGCCGCTGGCTTTATACAACTCGACTATCGAACAGAAGTTACTTTTTATCTTGCAAAAATAATCAGTACATAAAACGAGACACCAATTTGATTATTACCGCGTTGGTTTGTCTTTTTATCAACGAGCGGGCACATAACATTAAATATTATCATGAATTACTCACTGGATACTCAATAATTATACAAAAATATGACCGAATGGTGGCATATTTTTACCCGACCTTTACAGGATGCGATCGTCCATTTAAACTCGATATTTCTCTTTACAATCGAACGCACGTTCGCCCGGAGCGGCGAGATTCTTTTTTCAATATAGCCTCCATCCCTGACCGCGCGAACGATGACAGCGGCACGTGTGGCACTGGCACGGCGAGTGTCGTTGTTGGTAACGCCGAGTGAGCGTCGTACTGCGTGTGCTAAAGACAAAAATTCGCGCACAGACTGACTAAAAACCGGCGCGATGAAGGAGGAGACTGTGCTGAGTCTGAAATGGCAGAGTTTCCCATCGCACTTGGCGGTCTCGCTCGACACCTGCTACGAGAAACAGCAATTCGTCGATCTGTCGTTGGTCTGCAAGGACGGCACGATACTCAAGTGTCACAAGATGGTACTGGCCAACTCGAGCACGTTCTTCCGCCGGCTGCTCATGGCCAACGATCATCCGCACCCGATGATTATCCTGCACGACATCGAGGCGGACGATCTCAAGACCATCATCAACTTCATGTACTGCGGCGAGATACAGGTGGTGCAGAGTGAGGTTAGGCGACTACTCAAGCTCGCCGAGATCCTCGAGGTCACTGGGCTGCGGCACATACAGACCTCCGTGTTAGTCGGTGAGGTGAACCACGCGAGTACGAGCGAAACGTCGAGGAAGGCTGCCGCCGCCGCCGCCGCCACGGTATCACGGCTGAAGATAGAGGAGACTAGGAACCTGCCTGGTAGGAGCAACATCGAGTCGCACGAGATAAGTACAAGGTCGCAGACCAAAGCCGCCGCCGCCACTCAAGGAAGACTTGCTCAAGCGCACCCGTCGTCGTCATCGTCGTCGTCGTCGTCGTCGTCGTCGTCGCATCAGCACAAGCTCGCACCCAAGGCTGCTCTCCAAGACAACGCGACGACCAGGAAGAACGAGGAGATCAGCATAAACGCACTGAGTCAACGACTGGAGACCGGCAATTCCGGCATCAGTATTGTAGATATTAACGACTTACCGAGCACCAGCAAAGGACTGCCGCAGTCTTGCCCGCAGAAGCGGAAAGAGCCCACCGATCCCATCATCAGCTGGCCAACCATACTATCCGCGATCTCCAAAGACAAACCGTTACCCCTGAAGAAACTGTGCATCATGGACGAAGTGGAAATCACGGCAGGGAAACCACCGGGGCCGATACAGGACAGTAAACAGAACGAGCCACTGGACAGGAGGAAAGTGAAGAACAGCTCGTCTTATGATCACGGTATGAAATATGCAGTGTACATCAAGGACGAGGTCGATATATTGCCGGACACGGAGGACGACGTCGACATGGACCCCTTGGAGATTGACGAGATCGACAACGACAATGCGGAAGGCGGCAAAGCGTCCGCGCAAATGTTCCATTACTCTCGACGCTCCACCAGGTAGAACATTCGTCCTCGCGCCAACTGTCTTTCTTCTGTAAGAAGTCCGAGTGCTCAAGATCTATAGTGACTATGGGAATGTATCGTGCACAAGACGCCCATAAAACGCTTTTGTGAATTTTATGTATTTCAATATTTATACATATACGGAGAAAGAAAGGGAGAGAGGGAGAGAGAGAGAGAGAGAGGGGGAGAGAGAGAGAGAGAGAGACACACATCAGGCAAGACTTCCTTTGATCGCAAGGTTTCTATGAGAGACAAAACTTTATTATAAGATATGATGTTTCATCATACATTCATATTGCATTTATAATAAAGTAAGGTCATGTGTTTTTCTTCTTCTTCTTCGGATTATAGTAAATGACAAATTTATTCTTTAATATCCGTAGGTTAGGATTATGTAAAATATATATCTACTTAAGCTCTCGCGTGTATTAGTACATATGTGTATAAATATCTACGTACACATGTATATGTATACACACACACACAATATGGATATATATAACATAGTAACCCTTAGCAACTCGACTGTTGTGTTCCTATGGAGGCAAATTGTTTGATACTCTTCTCTGTACAGTGTTTGCAAAAAGGTTTTTACAATTGTTTATACGGTTATTTTCCATACGAAATGAGTATGAAAATGAATAAAGTAAGCTGTGATAAAGTAGAATGCGTGGATGGTACTGTCAAGAATTTAAATCCCGATAAGAACGTGACGGAGGAAGAGTTTCAGAATTTTATGCATCGCGTTACCGAAGTGGGTGAGTATGTTAATCGTCCGGTCGAACGATAACGGTTTAAACTTACCAATGAATCTTCTCGCTTTTTCCCTTCCCACCAAGAAAGCATCGTGAAGAAATTGGCGTCTCACGATCCGAAGGAACAAGAATGCGGCAGGATATTAGCCGATGAGATTTTAGAGAAAAATGTTCAAGGGGAAATTCACGAGGACGAGACTGAGGTGAGAATTAAAGCCAACAGATCAGTGATTAATAAGTATTCCAAGGAAGATAGCTCTAACGATCCAAACAAGATATCGCGAGGTGAGTTGTTTACTTGTCCATTACAATACTATCGTCAAACTATACATGAATAAATCCGTTATAAATCCTTCTGATTTGTGTAAACAGAAATGTTCATGAAGAGCGTAGAGGACGACGCTAGGAAGCGGGCTGAAGATCGCCGAGTCAGGAACGAACGAGCAGAGACGCTGAAGAGAATCGCCAACGGCGCGTTCAAGCAGGATGATTACGAGAAGGCGGTGACATATTACAGCAAAGCGTTGGAACAACGCAAGGATTCCTCCGTGATATGGAATAACCGGGCGTTGTCGTACATGCACCTCGGCTTATTCCAGAAGGCATTGCACGACTGCGAGTGGGCCTTGAAAGTGAACGATTCGAATCTGAAGGCTCTCCTCAATAGCGCCAAGTGTCATATGTATCTCGGAGACAGCAACAAGTACCGAGAATATATACAGATTGCCAAGCAGAGGAATCCTCACTTTCACAAGTTTATCGAAGGTATCGTTGAATACAATTCCAACGTTCTTACGTCAATTATGTATGTATGTACACACACGCACACACACACACACATACGTATCATGTATTTATGTATGTATATACACAATCGGTTGCTCATATTTTACAGAATTCGAAGAGAGTACAACGGAATCTTTCAACAAGTTCAATGGTAACGAAGTATGACAGACCCTTTGTTAAAGGAACAATCATGTACAATCATCTTTTGGAGATGTCGGACAATGTAATAAATTAGTGATACAAATATGCTTATTATTTTGTACGGCAGTATGTTTTCTTCGCAATAGGCTAGACTTGGATCTAGAGTAATATCAAGATGGTTGCACGCTCGTCGCGTAACCTTCTTTAATTTCCGACAATGATCTTGGCTCGTGTAAAAAGACTGTACATTCGATTCCCTGAAAGAAGGCCCATAATCACATTCATAATAATAATGCTTATTATTGCGAAATTGAGAGGCGATATTACGTGATTATGATCGAAATTCTTACCTGCATACGTGCTGCTCTCACGAATCCTTCATTGGCGGAGACTGTGATGCTCTTCATATTCTCGCCGGTCGCGAACACTATTCGCGATCGATCCTTAATTTTACCGCCCAGACGTAATTTCTCCATGACTCGTCCGGTGGGCATATCATCGACGATTCGAATTTTCTTCAGCAACTCGTGCGCCCGCTGCGTCTCCTGTGGACCACCGATAACGTCGATGATGCTCATAAAGTTGTCGTACGCTGTGCGACACGCGATGAGTTCCTTGTCGCGAAACAGATTGTCCAAGATCGGTTTTATAGGACGTTTATTCTCCATCTCTGCCTGCTGCGTAAGCAACGGTTCCCGATAAGCGTAATTACTATGTCCATTGGCCATGTTGGTCACGTAAGCCAACAATGTCGATACATCCAAATTCAGGAGCTTGATCTCGGTGAAAAGCGCGGACGTGTTCAACGATTGCAGATCCACATCTTTCTTAGAGTCATTGGTAAATTCTTTGGGGAAATCCAGCTCGTGTTCTACCTCCAAAGAAAAGAAAAAGATACAATATAAGCGTCACATGTGACATAATCTTTAACACAATGCGATACATATAAGCCATAAATGTCTACACGGATGCAATATATCCCTTCTAAGCAAATATATAAATGTTTCTGGTAATATTTACATATTTGCCTAGAGGCTTATTAACCTGCGGCTATCTAAGAAACTATCGATGATACCATAGTTTTTCACATATTTCAGAGCATCCTAAATATTTACCAGATGTTTTTCATATTGATGGTACACATTGTCAGAGCCAGTTTCTATCCTCTCTCCTTCAACAATAACACCCATTTGCTCCAGACGCGATGCCAAAGGCGTCTCTATGCCACAAGCAAAATGGAATATGACATCTGGCGGTTTGTAGTGATGCAGATGACATTTGCTGCACATCAAATAGGAATTGGCCTGATCCAGGACAGATTTCTGTCCGTACTCTCCTTTGCCAAGTGATATCAGAGTCAAGGCTTTGGCATTTCTGGCTATAACTTTCACCCAAGAAGCACCATTGTTACACACTATGTCCACTTCCAGACGTGATTCCTGATATTTGAAGGGCTTTATCACATTGGTAGGGTTCTTTGCACAAGACAGTCGAGCTACCACAGCATTGAGATGAATCAGATTTGTGCTCTGCAGATGTTCCTTCTTCACAGTCTCCGTACATTGTACCTATAGAAAATAATAAAATAAAAATTGTCAATGTAACAACATGCAAAGTCAATTCTATCACACCACTGACAATACAAAGGAGGCATAAGATATATTAATAAAAAGTAAAAGAAAAAAAAAAATAGTACACGTAAAATGGACAAGAATAAACAAATTTGGCGGCTACATACACGAGAATGTTAACCGGTCCCGACGTAAGAAGCACGCGGAATCGCACGTGTCTCACCTTTTCCAGAAACTTGATCTCCTGCTGGATTTTCCGTATCAGCTTATCCACGCCGTCGATCTTGTTCATAAGCCTGAGTCGCTCGACCATGCCGTGGCCGTCGGCAATTTTCTCACGCAGACATCCCAGCAATTCGCTCTTGCTATCCATCGCGGCGAATAATCGCGAGTCGCGGCTCGACGTGCTGGCAGCGAGCGAAAACGCGCCTTCCCTACCGCCGCCCGCGATAATTCCGCGCGGTAGACACGTTTGCCGAGAGTAGTGTTGTGCGCGGCCATCTTGCGTCACAAGCTCGATTTCGCGTAATGTCGTCGCTTAGGCTGTGCGAAATCCACTTCAATTAACCTAACTCACTCACTTTCCGTTCGCGCTATTCCGTCGTCGTTGGTGACAGGTGACAGTTGTCGTCGATGTCGACGCGCAAGTCGACATGTAACATTACGCGCCGAAGTTACGCACGTAGATCTGGAGGAGAAACGACCGCCGACGCCGACGTCGACGCTGACGCTGACGCTGACGCCGACGACGACGCCGACGACGCCGACGACGCCGACGACGCCGACGACGACGACGACGACGACGAACGTGGTTCCGAAAGCAGTCTCGCGCAAGTTAACGAGAACGGGGAACATCGCGGTGTGCGCGCGAGATCATCGTACGCGCCGTCGTGCCGTCGTTGTTGCCACGTTGCGTATCGAGCTGTTCGAGCTTGACGTCGAGCGCCGACGGAGATAAATATCACGGGACGCCTCGCATCGCGGCAAAATGTCCAGCGTCAAGGTCATAGAGAATCCAGAAGTGCCGGGTGAGTAGTCGCAGCATCCTCCGAGGGGAATCCTCCGTTTATTACCGCGACTCTGTTGCTTCGGCTCGGTCGCGTTTCACGATATAGCGCGTTCAATATCGACGAGAAAGCATGGCTTCGCGCGGTCGTGATAGTCGACTTCGCGCGACACGAAATTCATACGCCCCGAGCCTCGCATCTCTTCTCTCACGCATCATGTCGCCGTGCGTGAGATTCAATCGCGGCGATCGACGCTCCGCGGACGCTTCCGTTGCTGCGAGCCGCCGGACGAGGCGATTGACGCGATTGATGTTTGGATTGACGAGCGAATTACGAGCATGGTGGAAACATGCACGAGCGCAGCGCGATGGGCAGCCGTGCGTGCAATGTTGTTGTGCTTGCACGAGGCTGAGTCCGCTCAACTCGAGCATTCGTCCCGGTCAGATTTTCGCGGATTATTCGCCCGCGCCCGCGAGATATTAAAGCCCTGTCTCGCGAGCCCTGTTGATATCCTGAGGAGCGGACAACAGCAATCGATACATCGGGGAGCGGACTTTTGTAAAAATGGAAATATCCACGCGGGACGCCAGCTTGATTAGCGCTCAAGTCTCAAGGTCGCGGTCGTATTTAAATAGTATCTAACGGATATACGGAGAGAGAAACTCGCTCTCTGTGTGTGTGTGTGTGTGTGTGTGTCAGTCAGTCGCAAGCTCTCTAAATAAGTAAAATGGAGTCAATCGAGTCTCTGCAATTCACAATGCGCATTTTTGCAAATTGCATTTTTCCTCTTAACCCTTCAACGCCTACTGGTAACTATAGTTACCAGAAACGCATTTAAGAATTCATAACTTTTAGTCCACAAAGGAGATATTTTCGTTTTATTTGCACCATTGTAAAGGTGAATTCTTCTTCTGAAAAATGGTATATAGACTGTATGTAGATTCGGTTTAGTCTGCTTTTAGCTCAGTTTTAACGATAACACGGGGCGGCCAGTGTTCACTTTGACAACAAGAAACTGAAGATGACCGAAGACATCACAGGAAGTGTTACAACAAGCATATGCCTGTTGAGGAAAGCAGTAAAAGACATTGTTAATTGTGCAGCTCGAAAGGGAAGCGAAGCAGGACAAAAATAATTTGCAAAACCTGTAAAATTCCGCTCTGCATCTCTCGATGCTTTATGCAGTTCCATTCCGGGTAAATAAAGATCAAGTTCTGAATATGAGTTTTATGTTTCGAGGAATTTTTCTAACTATTAGATATGATATAAAATTATTAAAACTAGAAAAAAAAATTTAACCGATCAGGCGTATCTTTCGCTTCTGCGAGTAGTTTCTGCTTGGAAATGTAGTTTTTCGTAGATATAAAATTCTGATATTTTTTTCGGGTTATCACTACTTATAGTCTCAGTTCAAGAAAACTCAAATTTTATTCTCAAAACACTTGTAAAACAGTCGGGCGTTAAAGGGTTAAAGAAATCAGGCTTAAAGGCAGCACAAGTTCCAAGGGAAAACAGAAAAAAGAAAAACACGCACTTTTAGCATTTTTCAATCGTCTTTTGCGTAGGTTTGCGTTGTCTCAGGCATCATTTATCGATCGATGCGCGAATAAACGAGCAACTTGGATCTCGAAATTGGACGTATTTACTTCCAAACGAAATAAATACGTGCGAATAAATAAAACCCGTCCTTTCGTCCGCAGTTCGAATCTGCACGTACGAGCCGAGTCGACGAGATGTGTACACCTCGATTCGCTCGTTCGATCGCGTAGATGTTGTTTCGCGAGTAATATCAAAGGCAGCTTGCGAACCGACTAGAGCGGAAGCGCCTGAATAAATAACGTCGACGTGCGGCGTCTAGACGGCGCACAGTGTTGCAAAAATCGCTAAACGTGGCGCTAAAATAGGAAAAAATAAAAAGTGAAATTTTCGGTTCCCGTTTTCAATATGTATTTTCTAAAAGGTCCAAATTAATAAGTTGTAATCCAATTGTATCACGAAGATAAGTGAATTCAAATCTACACGTGATGCGAAGTAAAGAATAGCTGGCTGTTATAACCCTCCAAATGGTATAACTGATTTTGCGTTGAAATAATTTTTTATCATGAAAATGATGTTGCCTGTCTAATATCTCATCTGTATAGTTTCATCTGCAATAAAGAGTATATTAGAAAGTTATAAGTATATCCAATAAAAGTTAGATTTACAGGAAAAATTGCATCATTTCGCATCATGTTGTACCTTTGTGAAAACAAAGATAAAATATCTATTAATCCTTACGCAAAGGTAGAAAGAGCGACATCCAGCGCTTACAAAAATACAATAAATTTTATGAGCAGAGTTCAACATTCAGTGCGCTTTCTTACGGTCAGGCGTTGTCTACTGCAGGTAATATTGTTCAACACAAAAATTATATCCTCTATCAAAATTCTTCATTCTAGTTAATTTTGCTAATGTAATTACAAATATAATAATTAACGATAATGTTTAAGCTCTAATTAAATAATATAGTAAACAATAGTAAAAATAAAGACTGTAGAGATATGAGAGAGTATCGTACAAGAACAAACTCGAGAATTGCGACGAATGAAGATTAATTTATTTAAAAGACTTCTTCTTTCCTCAGATTCCATCATTTCTCTTTAAAAAGCTCAAGCTCTTTAAAAAGAGCTTCAAATAGAAAAGCCGATCCCTTCCCTAAAGAAGTTATTGAATTGCTCGCAAATCCAATTGTAGCAAATGCAGTTTCGGACGTTGAATAGTTACATAAAATATTTTGTTTAGTTAGTAGTTATATGAAATGAAAAGCAGAAGATAAAAACTAAAAAAGAAAAAGAAATAAGAAACAAAAAATGAAAAAGAAACAAAAAAAAATAAAAAGACAAAAAAATTTTTTTAAATAAAAACAAAAATAAAAAGTAAAATAATAAAATCAGAGAACATGTTATTTCAATGATAAAGTACCAGTATTTACAATATAGTATGCTTCGACTGTAGTATCACAGCGACAATATGATTTATGGCCACTATTTGGAGGTTTGGAGGCAACACTGTGCGGCGTAGACATGTGATAAGCTGAACGTGACGCCGTCTCCGGGCGCGAAAGACGGATGCAAGGTCGCCGGATGTCGCAGCTTTACGAAATGGCCTGTCGCCGATCGCAGTAGGCTTCGTATCGTTCGGATCGACCGCTATGCGACAGGCATTAATATTTATTAATAACTACGCGCGTGTAAATTGCGACAACGGGTGACGACAGGCTTGCTCGACGTCTCTATCGCGTTTGTCTATCATTTATTTACGTACGCATCGCGTACGCATTAGAACGCGACGCGAAAACTCCCAAGGCTCGATCGTTATCGCGCGAATCGTAAATCTCCCCAGCGCTGCGAAGCTTCTGCGCGCTGAATACTTGCACACTGATAAACATGACACACTGTTGCAGGATTGTTGCTTTAGTAATACTCGCGGTCTCCGACTCGTGACCCGAGGGAGAGCGAAGATCGACAAAAAAGAACGGCAAAGACTGGACAGAGGGAAAACAGACCATCATTGGCAGTGTCCGTTCGTTGTATTTCAGTTGTTTAGGCCGTGCGAAAATGCGGCCCCGAGTGACCAAGAGTAAATACAAGCGTTGGGAGCAGACGCACGACACAATGGACGTAAATGGACGATGATGCAGTGCGTCCCATTCACGTGTTTCACCATGACGCAAAATAAGGGAGACGCGCGGTTACCCTTGCGCACACCAAATGCTAAATGCCTGTCTCTGACCGAGAGGAATTTCCATTTAATGACCCGACCGTGACTAAAAGACACCGTCCGAAGTAACAAAATCAGCCAGGCCATTGTGTCCCCGTGTGTTCTGCCAGGGCTCATGACTCGCTCTTAGAAAACGGTCTCCCGTCTTTGCCGGCAGCGACCGGTAATACGATTCTGCCCATACTCAGAAGAACGACCTGATTTTGCCTAACGACCGGCTCGTTCACCTACAGAGAATCTGAATTTTTTATTATCAATTTCTCACAGGACTCGAATGCTTCCTGCCGCCGCCGCCGCCGCCGCCACCGCCGCCACCGCCGCCACCGCCGCCGCCGCCGCCTCCGCCGCCGTCGTCGTCGTTGAACAAATTATCGGGCAATAATGTGTCCGCAACAACGAAGCAGCAGCAGCAACAGCAGCAGCAGCAGCAGCAGCAGCAGCAGCAGCAGCAGCAGCAGCAACGATCGGCGGCAATGAGCAACAACGCGATGACCACGGGGACGGGGGTGCCGCCATCCGCGCCGGACGGCGCGATGCCGCCGAATCTCAGCGGCACCACGTACCCTAGTGTACCCGTGCCAACCCCCTATATCTCTGCGTTTCCAGCGGTACAACCGCAAACCCCCGGCCAGCCGGCAGCTACCCCCTGGTGGATGCCCACCGACAGCGACACATCCGACATGTACACTCAGTGGTATGACTCGACGTACAAGGGTGCTACCGCGATACCACCCGCTACGCAGGCCATGGCGAAGAGTAAGAACAAATATTACAAACGCAAGAACGAATTTATCGACCCCGCGCAGGATGCAGGTAATTGGGGCTTTGAGCAGACTTGTTGCCTGCTGCGAGTCGGCAAACTTTGAGGCGGCAATCATGTATCTTCGTCCCGGGCCCGGGTACACACGGAAGATTAAAGAAGAACAGCCTAATATCTCGTAGTTCTCGGAGTTCCCTTTTCACGTCCTGACCTCTGTCCCTCTGATGTGCGCCGGACGGCTTTATATTTGTTGAACGGTTGTCCCGTGGAATGTTTTACATACATTCGTACCTGTGCTTTTTAACACGACACAATGCCGGGAGCTCATTGTCGTCTCATTTGGGAGATCGATGTATTATTTTCTGCTCCACCTCGGGCCTGGAAGGAATATAATGGCGGCCGAACGCTTTACACGGCGGATTATAATAAGAGAAGCGAGATTTATGACGGGGAAAGTGTCTGTTTTAAAATCGTAGCGAATGCGAAACTGAGTAAACGTTGTGTAGGATCTTGTTGGATCTGAAGCGACGCTCGTGTAAAAAGGACTTAGCAGCGTACTTAGTGAAGCGTACGTTTAATCTCTGTTTTTCTTTCGCAGAGAAAGTGGCGAGCGCTCAGAGGGAGTTGTCGACACTGATGAAACCACTAAAGTGTGACCTGTGCAATGCAGTCGTAAGGCCCGGCTAATTTTATTCAGCGAATCAGCGAGTTTCACGCAGCTTCCGAGAATGAAAGATTAAGAGAGATCGCCAGATCAAGACTAGATCAAGATCGACAATCTCTATTCTCCGCGAGCAAAGAGCACAACGCTTTGTATTGATTCCAACACGGAGGGGGGGGGGGGCCGCGGGGGCGGATAACGAGCACGTCGATAACGAGATGTCTTGACTTTGCGAATTTTCGTGTTTCAGATGAATTCGACGTTACAAGCGAAATTACACTATGACGGTAAGCCGCATCAGAAGAAGGTGTCGATGTTCCTCAATCAGAGCGTTAAAAAGCAAAAGACAGAGGACGGCCAAGTGAGCAGCACGACCAATAACGACTGGCAAAACTACTGTGATGTAAGGGACATTATCAGACGTCTTGCTTCCGCGGTTTGCTCGTATATTTATACAGAAACTTACTAATGTACCTCGCGTACGATCCACATTAGATATGCAAAACGTGGTTCACGTCGCAGACAGACGCTACGCAACACTACGCAGGCAAAAAGCACATTAGAGCGGCGAATGGTGGACCCCGCAGGTACGAATCTGTGGTCCCGCGTCTCGCGTCTTAATAATCGCATCATACATATGATGATGTATCGCTTAAATTCACCTTCGCGGAATTCGCGGCGGTAGGACGCGTCCACAAAGATTCGACATATTACAATGTGATGATCAGAAAGGGGGAAAAAGCCGACGCTCTCTTGCTTCCGCAGGCCATCGAAGAAACCGCCATCGCAGAATCAGTACAATCAGGTCGACTCGACCGGACGCTTCGGGATAGGAATGGCTTTCCAGACGGACGCGCAGACCGCGCCGACGGTGACACCGGTGATACCGGACGTCACCGCGCCGGTGCAAAATGCGGTCGCGCCTACCATGTACGCGTCGTCGCCATATTCCACGCTGTTGCGTTGCGACTTGTGCGGAGTCTCAGCTAATCGGCAGGATCAACTGGAAACGCACAAGCGCGGAGCCCGACATTTGAGAATGCTGCGGCTTAATGGACTTCCTGTGCCTGAATCTGGTAATGATCCAAAGTGCTGAATACGCCTCCCTTCCTCCCTTCTGGCCGCCAATCATCTCGTTCCGTTCTGTTTCAGCCGCTGAAAACGAGAACACGACCAGCGCCGTTGAACCCATAGATTATTCAATTTATCGGACTCCATCGGGTAAGAAGGGATCGGGTTGCCGAGAAGTGTGGAAATTTAGAGAAATAAAAAAACAGATACCTTCTCTTCTGCATAATTTCGCAAGGCAACGCAACAACGATCGTTTTTTCTGCTTTGTTTGTTGCAGGGCAGTATTATTGCGCACCGTGCAACCTGTCGTTGAACTCGGAGACCACGTTCGCTCAGCACGTCGAGAGCAAGAAACACAAAAATCAGTCCAATCCGAAGTTACCAAATGCCGTGGTAGTCGCGAAGAAAGCCAGATTCAAGAAAAAATAAAACCGCGACTGCGCCATTACGCTTTGTGCAACGACACGGATTCCGGCTGTTTTTTTCTTTTTCTTTTTCTTTTTCTTTTTTTCTTTTGTGCTTTTCCGTTTCTGTCCGTCCTTTTCATTGTTCGTTCATGACCTTGCGTTCGTCTGTGATCACAGTGGAGGCGCGAATGTACGGCGGAATGAGAGCTCGCGACGTGATCGTCGCGCGTTTGCGTCAAGTGTAATAAATCCTGTTACAATCCGAGTTACAGTTTGGGTGAGTCTCGAGACTCGTAGCCGCGCTTTTCGCGCGCGTGTGCGCCCTCTTTTGGAACTTTTTTTCCGATGCGTCGACAATTTCATCAGACCGCAAGCAAACCGTAAATCGCAGACTAACGCGAAGATGGATCACGAAGCGTCGCACGACTGATGAGAAACATAAGCACGTTAGCGCACGCGGCGGAATTTATATTAAATGCCGATTAACTCTAGATTAAATTCGCGGCAAGTCGAGCGATCATCCAGACGACGGCTCTAGCTCGTTAAAGCGCGTCTCGGCGGTATCGCGACTAATCAGCGACATTTATTCAATTACTCGAGGTCATTAACTCGAGCCGGCGAGCTCGTGAGAGGGAGAGGAGAGAGAGAGAGAGAGAGAGAGAGAGAGAGAGAGAGAGAGAGAGAGAGAGAGAGAGAGAGATTCGCGAAATCCCGGTGCGCGAGTCACGTAGTGCCGCCGCGACTGCGTGAAATTTATGCGTCGTTTGGCTCGCTCGACCTTCCGCCGCGGTTTATGGTCGAACGAACGAACGAACGAAGGAATGAGCCGCGTCGAGGGCCCTCCCCTATTAATTATCGTCGTAAGACACGTATGACCGGTCAACGTTTTCTACCGTCTTTCCTCTTTTTACCGTCACCTGTCGTGGTTGCGACTCGAATATATCTCCCGTGCGAGCGAATAAAAATACTTGCGTAAAGCGTGAATCAACGACGAACGTAGCCGTCGAGAGACGGTAGCAATAGCAGCGGCAACGTTTATGACATCCAAAAATGGCAGGAAGAAACGGACGCGCTCGTCCTTCGAAGTCGGACAGTGGCAGGAGAGGAACGGCCAGACGCGAATTTAGACGGATCGTCGATCATTCGCTCGATAGGATCGCCGAAATTGCGCGCGACCTCGGTGAGCCTCGGAGGAAACAAGAGAAGAGAAAAGGACGTTGAGAAAACGTGAAGTTGGCAGTGAATTATCGAAGAAACTTCCTCTCCTTTCTTCAAGAATCCTGACGCTTTCTTTGGAATCGCTTGCGACGCACCGTAGCACCTTCCGAGCGACTTTCCAATGAATTTCGGTCAAAAATTTGCCGACCTCCTTTGCTGTTCCTTTTTCTACAGCGAGTTCCTTTTTAAAGCTTGCATGGGGTCTTCCGCCAGCGCTGCAGCAGCGCGCAACCGGTGAGATTAGGATCGTTCTCGCGCGGACTTGTAGATCGTTGCTTTATACCTGCGCTTTGGATTTTTATGACTCGCCTGTTTCACGTGTAACTTGTCCATCTCGTTTTATTTTCCCGTTCACCTCCCTCGCCGCCGCCTCCGCGGGGGCCCGCCCCGCCACCGATGTCCCATTTCCATCGCACCGTCTCCCACGAGTCTCTCTCAAACGTGCCAAGATATTGTTCCCCCGGCTTTTATAGCACGGGAGGAGAAGGAGTACATCGTCGCTTTGTACCATACTTTGTCATACAAACGGAATTCGTGAGAGAAGCACCGCCGCGACGCGCGACGGCTCTTATTCGCGCCTCTGAACTTTCCATGAATGATGAAACGCGGTTCGATCCGTCCAAGCGCTATAAAAGACGACGACGACGACGACGACGGAGAAAAAGAAAGTTTGCCGCAATCTCTGTTCACACAGCGCGAAATTAAGAAACATATAAAACCATTAAGCGACGACGACGGGGCCGGCAGCGCGCGCCGGCCTGAAAGTCTTTCGGCGATGTTCGTCCCGATGACTGGAGAGAATTTCCGAGAAGCCACGGAAGAGGATCGGGAGTAAGTCGCTTCCACCTGCAATAGGCAGTAGCGGTGCAACCAGACGCCGTGACGAAAAAATCAATCGACCGACCGACCAAGCGAGCAGCCAACCGATCGCCCGATCGTTCCCGCCATCGCCGTCGCGCCCTCGTTCAAGGCTTCTACGATCGGACTCTCCTCTCTCTCTCTCTCTCTCTCTCTCTCTCTCTCTCTCTCTCTCTCTCTCTCTCTCTCTCTCTCTCTCTCTCTCTTTCTCTCTCTCTCTCTCTCTCTCTCTTTCGAATCTCTCCTGCTCAATTCTATCCCCTCGTCCGTCCCCCTCCCTCTCTCTCTCTCTCTCTCTCTCCCCCCCTCTCCCTCTTCCTCTCACAGCGAAACGCGCAAAAATCACTTATCGGCCGTGACTCGATCCGCGGAGAAAAACCCGGCCTCGCTACGCAACACGAGCTATTAGGAACGCATGAATAACCCGGAGGAACAGGAGCGAAAAGAAACGTCGCCGCGACCATCGTGATTACTCGTCGTGGAAACACGAACGGATTACAATCGCCGCGCGGGCTCGCGCCACAATACGCGTACGCGCAACAGCGTCATTTCGACGGGGGGAAAAAAAAAAAAAACTTTGGAGCCTTGAGAGAGAGAGGGACTTTTGAAAGCGATCGTTTCGCAAGTTTATACTCACGAGTATAATCCGACGAATTATTGTACGCGCGAAACGATGGGCCGCCGATGGGAGGGGGGTGGAATCGCCGCGGATCGAGTCCGCCGGCGGAATTATATAATTTTCGCAATTACGTGTTTATGGCGCGCTGTCCGCGCGCGAGCGTTAATTATGCATTTCGCGGCCGAACTTGGCGAGCCTCGAAAATCCCGCGGCGAGCCCGACGGAGTTCCGCCAGCTAGACAACTCCGGACAACTCCTCGAGTCCCGTTTCGCGGACGTTACAATCGCGGCGTGGCGACAAACGAATGGATGGATCCGAGAGCGCGAGGAGAGCGACGCATGCCGATCGGTCGCCGTCGCATAATCGATCGTTACGGAGTCGCTCGCGCAGAAATCCTCTTCCGCGGTCCCGCGCTGGTGGATCACGCGGCGGCGGCGGCGGCGGCGGCGGTGGCACGTCGATCGATCGATAAACGATCGTCTCGGATGACCGGCGTCGCTTCGCGACCCGGACGCAAACGACGGCGGCACAGGTTAGGCGAGGCGATCGCGACTCCGCCGCGGCTGAAAATCGAATCCGAACGCGCGGAAACCACGAGGTGTAAACGAGACGAGGCTGGAGCGCGGCAGAAGGAGAGGAGCAGCCGAAGAGTGGCGAAGGGAGAAGAGGAGAGAAAGCGAGTGAACTCGCCCGATCCGCGGCCGTCGCATCCGAGAGAGTAGACTCGCCTTTATAAATTGCACCACTATCGACATTTTTCTCGTCCGAGGCTACCGTAATACAGCGCGTCGGCTTAACATTACTCCGCGCGCGCGCGCGCGCGAGGTACAGGGTGTCCCAGAACTCTCGCGCGGCCTTAATCTTATCTGCCGCGAGTGGCCGCGCGACGACACCCGCGCGGTGACGTCGGCCGTCACAGCGTGCTCGAGGAGCGTCGCAAGATTTTCCGCCGGACGCCGAGCGGTTTACGCTTTTATAACGTGTTGGCCGAACGATCACACAGCACCGTCTCCTCTCCAGCTGGTGACCAAAGCTACGCTTAATAAGCGCAACGTGTTGCGGAGAGCGTGACCGCTTGTGTGACCGCCAGAAACACAAGCGTGTCCGGCTTCTGAAGGAATCTTCCGATTGTTGGAAATGCGCCGACAAAGCGTTAATGTAACACCGACTTCTTTGCCGAGCGCGCAGCTGTGCGATCTCCGTTCTCTTGTTTTTGTCTTCTCATCGTTGTCGTGATCGCCATTTTTACACGGATCACGGATCAACCGATGTCGATACACATCTAACGAAGTGCGAAAGAAAGAAATGAATTACCCGCCTTGTCTTCCCTCTCTCTCTCTCTCTCTCTCTCTCTCTCTCTCTCTCTCTCTCTCTCTCTCTCTCTCTCTCTCTCTCTCTCTCTCTCACACACACACACTTTCTTTGTCTCTCTTTTCTTTTCTACCGAAAAGAAAATGAAAAGAGTCCGTTTCCTCTCGCATGTTTATTCGCGTCCCGATGATTAATCGTTTTTTTCGCAATGGTGAACGTGAACGACGGCCACGTTTAGGGCGTGTCATTTTTCCCGGCCTTTTCTAATGTCGCTAACGAATGGCTAACCGAGTTAGCGCCATTCGGAACGGTACCGCGCATAAACCCGAAGAAACCGTAGGACGAGAGAGAGTAGAGCAGCTCCTTTGTCTGGTCGATCCCATTGTTCCGGACGACGCGTAGAAAAAAGTTGAAGAAGCAACACGACGACGCGGGGACGTGCACGAATTTCTTCGACGGCGGCTGCGGCTGCGGCTGCGGCGGCGGCGGCGGCGACGACGACGACGACGACGACGACGACGACGACGACGATAGCCACGACGATGGTCGCCCGACAAATCCGTACAATTATTTCTCGATTAGGAAGAAGGAGAGCCGCGACGACGCGAGATTAGATCGCCGTCGCGTTAACGGGACGTGCGCCAACGACGACGAGCGTTCTCAGTTTCGCGTTCTGCCTAATTGCGGAAGCACCGCCGACAATTCCGACATTAATAACGTCTTTTTTTCCTTCGGCATGTCGTAAGGTACAGGAGGAGAGGGAAGGAAGGAAGGAGGTAGCGTAGTTCATTATGCTCGAGGAATGCGGTCCTTCTCAAACAACGCATTGTGCGCCGCGCGGTGTATAACTGTACGGTGTACAACTATAAATAACGCGATTTAACGCGCAACGGAATTCATTTATAGATGAAATAATTATTCAAGAGAGAAATAGAGACGCGTGGTGAGAGTAATGACGGTATACGGGTGAGGATAATGAGGGCGAATCGCCGTTTGAATGGCTAATAAATGCAGCGATCGATATTATCGCGATGGGTATTACGAGCGAGAGAAAC